AAGGAAGGAAGGAAGGAAGGAAGGAAGGAAAATAAATGTGGTTAGGTAACAAGAATAGAAGAAGTTGGGCACTGGTGGCCCACGCCTGTAATCCTAGCTATGCAGGAGGCTGAGATTTGAGGATTATGGTTCAAAACTAACCCTAAGCAGGCAAGTCCATGAGACTCTGCTCTTCAATTAACCACCAAAAAGCTGAAGTGGAGCTGTGGCTCAAATGGTAAGGTGCCAGCCTGGATACCTAGACTAACAGGGTTGCTCTCAGGGTGCTAGCAGGATCTTCCCCTCCTTCAGCCCTGTCCCACACATTCCGAGGTGGCCAGCTCCAGCCAGGACCTCCCAGCTTCTAGGAAGGAAGGTTGGAGCAAGGAAGAAGCCACCGTGAGGCACAGGGTGTTTGTGTGAAAGATGCAGCTTCACCTGCAGCCGGGGACTGAGCAGATGGAATCTAAAACAGAGCTGGAAAGCAAGGGCTTGGAAGAGGCTCTGCTCATCACGGCTGCCACCCCCAGCCCAGGAGGCTGCAGAAGGGGACTTCAGGACAGGGGTTCAAACCGGGCAAAGAAAATACAGAGCCAGGGATGCAGCTGACTCGTTGTTTTTCTGGGAATCCAGGGCTCATGGGAGCCAGGAACTTATCTTCGTGGTGAAGTTTGCCTAGCAGATCTGGGTCACAAACTGACATATGACTTTAGCCTTTAAGTGAGATGGTAATAATGAGTTGTTGGGATAATTAAACAAGACTGTAGACAGGGCTGCTGACTTGTTTTATTGGTTGATTGATAGTTGATTGGTTGGTACTGAGGTTTGAACTCAGGACCCCACAACCTTGCTTGCCTTTTTCACTCAAGGTTGGCACTCTACCACTTAAGCCACAGCTCCACGTCTGCTTTTTTTTGCTGGTTCATTAGTCTAATGAACTTTCTTGCCTGGTCTAGATTTAATCCTTGGATTTTAGTCTCCTTAGTAGCTAGAATTACAGGTATGCATCCCCAGTGCTGAACACTGCTGAGTTGTTTTTCAAGTGGAGACTGAGCCCATTTCAGTTGAGAGGCTAGGGAACAATTTATATGTAAAATGAATTGTTTTCTGGGTTCAACCGATAAGTCCATGCAAACAGCTGCACACGCACACACGTGTACACGCACACACGCACGCACACACACACACACACACAAACTCAAGCTGCCAGCTACCCCAATACAACAAGTGCACTATGGGCCTGTCTCTCCACATCTGCTGCCACCATCCTCATCCAGCCTCAGGCACTGTTCCCCTCTCCACACTAACTCAAAAGTGACAAGCTTCCCAACACGCACCCCCCACAAGCAAACTTCAGGCCTTCTTCAGGGTAAAAAGCCTTATTGATTGTAGTGTGTGTGTATTTTGAGATCATTTAAAATCCATAAAGTTGTGCTTCCATTAAGTTGTTTTATGTAGCATGGATGAACTTTTGGAGAGCAAAGCACCTAACTGTTTTTCCCATAAGCTGTCTGTTCACACAATTGCATTTTTAAGTACTAGGACGTCACACAGAACAGAACTATGTATGCAAAACATGTGATCATCTTACAATAAGTATCAGCTCTTCCCATCATTATTACTGAACCTCTGCTGCTGAGTAACACTTGCCAGGTTTTGTTTTTCAAAGTTTTTTCCCATATTTAAATTCATTTTTATCCTTATGCATTGCATCTGTTGTGGTATAAGGTACCAGAGCTTGAACTCAGCCTTGCACTCACGTGGCTTGCTTGCTCGGCTGGTGCTCTATCACTTGAGCCATGCCTCCAGGCCAGATGTTTGCTAGTTAGCTAGAGATGAAGTTTCTCAGACTTCTCTGACCTGGCTAGCTTTCAAGCCTGGATCCTCTAGGCTTAAGTCTCCTATGTAGCTAGGATTACAGCTGTGAGCCACTATGTGCCCAGCTATAGATTATATTTCTAATAATGCATAAAATAAAATGCAAATTATAGGAACTTATTTACCCAGGATCACAAAACCAGGTCCATGAATGGTGCTGTCCCTTGCCTTCAAATCTATTTTAAGAAAAAAAAGATGTGACAATATCTTACTTCTACTTCGAGGTCTACAATCACACAGTGCAAAGCAGAGAGCATGGACAAGCCATGGCCATCAAGAGGCAAAGGAAGATGGGAAGAGGGAACAGGTAATCATGAGAGAATCTTTGAGGAAGTGAACCAGGAATTCCAAAAAAGAAAATGGGCAGAAGTGGTGAAAATGCAGGAAGGAAACCAGAAGCCAGTGACTATCAGGGATCTCAAACATATACGGAAGCTAAGCAAGCGGGAATGAATAAAATATGGCAGGGGTGGGCAGCAGGGAGTGCTGGTAGCTGTGGTGTACTTAAATCCCACCCAAAAGGACAAACTCCACTGAGTTCTGACCAATTCATGCCTGAGAAGTAAAAGATAAACAGCATTTGGCTTGTTAAAGTAGAAAAATGAGATTTTATGTAAAATTCTAGGTGCTTCTTTTTTCAATTATGGATGATTTTTTTCTTAAGCATCAGTGAAGGATTCATAGAAAAGTTTTAAACACCATTCAAACTCAAGTAACACATCTATTGGCCAGCTAATTTACAATCTCCAGGGAATGACAAAGATGACAACCCAGACCTGACCTAGATCACACAAAGAAGTCTAAACACTGATGGACACAAAATATGTTATTTATTGTCAATTTCTGCAAAGACACATTTAAGCAACAAAATATACATTTTGTCAACCTTTGAGAATTTGTTTTATACATTAACAAATACAATGTGCTACCATAGCAATAAATTAAATGTACACTATTTACATTACATAGGCAGAGACCTACAAATCACCTCCTCACTAAGAGGAAAGAAAGAAAGGGCCACTTCCAAGCTACACGTCCTAGCTTCTACTCGTAGAAATCTCTGACATGACACATCATCACTCCCCGAGCTTGAGGGAGGCGGGGGTGAGAGGTCACCATGACAGGGAACGTTAGCACAGGTACTAAGGAGCAGAGAAGGGGCAGGTCACAAAGACAATGGCAATGCGATTCCAGTCTTCCAGCCAAATCCCCTTCTCCCCAGGGCTGGTAAGGCACAGGGCAGAGCCACTGTCCCAGCAGCGTGGGGCTTGACTGCCCTTGGCCCTAGAATGTTGTCTTGGAACCTCCCAACAGGGCACATGGCTCAGCAGAGAGGAGAGGGCACAGGGCTGGGGTGGGGCAAGGGACTAGGGGTGAAACTCAGTGCAACACCCAGCAGCCTCCCCCCACCACCACCACCACACACACACCAGGCTGTAGGTACAGCCTTAACAAGTTGTACTGAGTGGTCCTTGCCCTTGGAAAGGGGTAGCTGGAGTCTGGGGGTGGAAAAAGGGCCACAGGTTCTAGACCAGGTCCTTGCCCTTGAAGTCCTAAGATCTACTAGAACCCCATCCGCTCTCCCAAGAGATGTCTTATGCACTGAAAAACAAATGCAAAGGTAGTGTTTGAACTGGCAACGTAAAGGGTCAGGGTGAGGACTATGAAACCGGCTGTGTCCCCTTCCTCGTTTCTTGAGCCTAGGGCTTTACTAACCATCTCCATTTTTTTCAGTCCTGGGGGCTTGAACTCAGGGCCTAAGTGCTGTCCCTGAGCTTTTTCACTCAAGTCTAGTGCTCTACCACTTAAGCCACAGCACCACTTCCAGCTTTAAAAAAAATGTTTTTGAGTAGTTTATTGGAAGATAAAAGTTACACAGACTTTCCTGCCCAGGCTGGCTTCAAACCACTATCCTTAGATTTCAGCTTCCTGGGTAGGTAGGATTACAAGTGCCCAGTTCCTAACCATCTCCATTTTTAAGGCCCGAGTTCAGCATGAATTAAGCCCCAGATTCATCCTCAGCACTGTGAACAGAAGACAAAGGAGAAGGAGGAAGAGAAAAGAAAGAATTGTGAAGGAATGAAGAGTTATCGTTGACCATGTTCCACATTAACTGCTGACTTCCAGTGAAAGCAACACAGATATTTTGTTGACCTTCTGAAGAAAGCAAAGCTGGCCAGACTAGCGCATCACATAAGCCCATTTTCCACTCAGGGTAACAGAGCGGTCCCCACGGCCGGCATATAGGATCTACTGTGGTTTTCTGCTCTGACAGCCAAAGCAATGGGATGATGGTTAGAACAGTCCCATTTCTATGCCTGGCCTGGGAATGAGTTCCATTCCCTTCACCAATAAAGCACCATGCTGGAGATCTTGTCACCTGCTCACTGGAGCAAGAACGGAGCCAGCCCGTGTGCACTTGAAACTGCAGGACTTCCAGGGAGGTGCTCTTCAGACTGCATTTAACTTGGATGACCCCCACCCCTATGCCTAGCAGCACAACCCCACCCCCACCCCCTGCAGATCCAGGCAGGGAGAAGCCAAAGGGTTCTCCTTACATGAGCTGGTCTAGAAGGTGGCTCTGGCATGGTGCCCCCACAGGACCTGGCTTGCAGGAGTCCTATGGAAGTGACAACTGCATGAGGGTGGCCTACAGCTGGAAATGGACTTAGGAGGAGGTTTAGGGTTCAAGCCCCCAGACATGGCCAAAGATTATAGTAGCCAGGAGTGGCCCCCTTCCCCAAGGCTGCATTGGACCCCCTATGGAGGCCAGACACACAAAACTGGGAAGGGAGAGGGGGCTGGTGGCTCAGATCTGTCATCTGAGCCACATGGGACTCTGAGAACCAAAAGATGGTTGTACCAGGCCAGCCTGGGCAGAAAAGTTCATGAACCACTGCTCCACCCATAGCCGGGCACAGTGACACATGCCTGTCATCCCAGGCTACATGGGAGGCTGGGATTGAGAGAACCACAGATCCAAGCCAAAGTCCATGAAACTCCATCTCCACAGAGGGCAGCTGGCTGCAACCTGTGACCAGCAACAACAAGAAGACTAAAGTGGGCAAGATGACAGCTTGGGGGGGCGGGGAGAGGACAATGCTTGCTTTAGGAAGCAAGAGTCTAGCTCAAAAATAGCCAGCAAAAACCAGGGCTGGAGGCATGGCTCAAGTAGAAGAGCCCCAGCCTAGCAAGCATGAGGCCCTGAGTTCAAACTGTAGCACTATCAAAACAAAAGAAAAAAGACTGCTGGGGACATTGTGTCCTTCTCCTCACCTAAGTCTGACTCACATACACTGGGCTGACCGGAACCTGCCGAGTCCTCCCCCACCACGCCTCTCCCTGTCTCTGTGCAGTGGGTTGAACAACTGTGTCTTCCTTGAACTCCCAGGATGTTGGTGAGCCCTTAGCCCCTGATGTGCTCCCAGCACTGGTTCATTTGCTTTCCCTCGTTCCTGTGTCCTCCCAGACTCCCACCCTTCACAGAAAAATCATCTGCTCCAAGGAGAGAGGTGGTCCAGGGCCTCTCCCTGAGCAAGGACAATCAGGAGCCCACGCGGAGTTAGGCCCAGCGTCGTCTGGTCCCAGCAACGCCCAGATCTGGCTCTGAGCTTCCACCTGCTCCAGAGCTGTAAGAGCCATGGAAGGCAGCTTAGAGGATGCTGGGAAAATCTCAGCTCCAGGGAAAGCAGCCCCTCCTCTGCCATTAAATCCATGGGTGGTGACAGAACTCTGGGAAGGCACTTCCCTGTGGCCAGGGGTCCCCCTTACAATCTGCAGTCACCTCTACCCTCTCCTCTACCGCTGCCTCTAAGCCCCCAGGACCCATACACCACCCCCACACTCCTCCCCTTCAACTCTCATTTCCTGCAGATACAATGAAATGACAAATGACCCACACAGACATTGCATCAGAAGTCAGGAGCAGGGGGCCCTCCAGGAAAGAGGCCTTGTCCAGAGCCAGGGATGGGGAGCCACACGTGGGGTTGGAGGAGCCAGCAGGGTGGGATGTGGGGCAGATAGTTGGTCTGCTGGGCAGGTAGCTGATGGGCCCACGGGCCTGGAGACAGAGTAGTGGACAGCGCCCCCAAATGGCTGGAATAGGGAGCCTTCTGTAGGACAGAATCGAGGCTTTCCTGGAGGAGACATGAGGAAGAAGGAGATGGAAAGCAAGTACTTGGTAAAGGAAGGATCCAGAACAAATGTGGGTGTGGCTGTCCGGAGGGAGGAGTGGAGTACAGGCCACTGACTACCCAAAGGATGAGAAGGGAACCGAACTCAGGGTACTGGAAGTTGGGCATAAACATTCCTTTGGCAAGCAGAACCGTCAAGGCCCTGGCAATAGTGAATGGCTGCATTCCCATTCCCTTCCTTCTTTTCAAACCAGTTTAACATCAAGAAGGATCAGCTACACCCTTCCCCCTTGGTCCCATCTGTGACTCAGACCTCTAGAGCCCCAGGGGAGGAGCTGCAAGAGCTAGCAAGAGCTCAGGACTCAAGGATGCTGAATGGGCTCTGCTGGAACCCCAGGCCTCCATGTCAGCGAGCGTACAGGGAAAACGCCTTCCAGCCTGGAGCCCTGCGTGAACAGGGAGGGAGAGGCTTGCCTAAGAACCAAGGAAGCAAGGTAAACTGAGGAAATCCTCCCTCCAGGGAGGGGAAGGGGCTCTGAGGCACTACCCCTTCTGCCTGCTGGAACCAGACTCCATGTTGCGGCTGGGGGCCATTTACTGAGATTGCCCCAGTTCCACGGGACAGCCCTTCCCAGCCGCACCAAGGCGTCTGTCCTCCCCCCACCCCTAACCCCAGACGTAGGGAAGCCCATCCGAGTAGGCTTCTGGAACGAGGTCAGTCTATGGCCTCCCCAGCTGGCCATCCTCAGGTCATAAGGTCACCAGCTTTTAAGGGACACATTCCCCACTTGAGAGCCCCAAGGGACAAACACACCCTCACCTCGCACAGGAGAAGGAATCCTCTTTCACATTAGTGACCCTGTTTGGAGAAACATCCATACAAGAGATTTTAAGAACCAGATTAACAGTCTGCTCCCCCTGTGGTTTGGGTAGAGGTTTGCCAATGATAAGGGGAGTTCTGGAAGGGACCCAGGGATGGGGGGAGGGCAAAAGCTGCAAAGGCAGTGGTAGGACCCTGCCTGAATTGTGTGGGGTTGTACAGACAGCATCTGCCCCCCCAGATCTGACCAGAGCTCTCCTTCCCCTGTCTCTTCAAGGGACCCCTTCCCTCACAGGAGAGAGGCAGCCACTCCAACCTCCCTCCCTCAGTCCATAGGAAAGAAAGCCAGCTTTTAGAGGACGCTGGGGTGTGTGACGTAGAGCATTTCCCCTGTACCCGCCCCACAAATCCCTGCACTGGTTCCTTACCGCACTGGAGCCAGCGTGACTGAGCTTATCAAAGCGAAATTTCAGGTTTGACCTCGGGGAGTTTCTGCTTTTGGCATCTAAGGAAAGAAAACCCAAGGAAAGGCGGTCACTTGTTGAAGGGGGAGGTCTGGACAAAGGGAACTCTGTGTCCTTCCAAAGGGCACGTTGGCTGGCTAGGACCCACTCACCACACAAGGCCTAAACTCATACAAATGTCATGTGCCAGTGATTAAACCTAGTCATAGTTTTCATTTTTGGCAGTCCAACAAAGGAAGTCCTGAATTTGAACTCAGGACTTCATGCTTGCCATGGCTGACAATTCCATTGCTCAGTCATGCTTCTAGCTTCTTCTTGTGCTGCCTGGGTGTGTGGACTCCAACCTGCCTATTTGAGGCTTGCACAAGGACAAGTGTGCACCACCACACCAAGGGTCTTTCCCATGGAGATGTAGTCTCATGGGCTTTTCTGCCCAGGCTGGCTTAGAACTACGACGTTCCCAATCTAGTTTCCTACATAATTTAGGATGACAATTGCATGTTGCTGTACCCAGCTGACAGGTTGAAAAAGCAGTCTCATGAGTGTTATCTGCCCAAGCTGGCCTCAAACAACAGTCCTCCCACATTCTCAGCCTCCCAAATAGCTAGGATTACAGGTGTGAGCCACTATCATCTGGCTCGAACTCATTTTAAAAATTATATACGCTTACAAGCAAATAGATTATATTCAAGAAAACTTACCAAACGTCATCTCCTCTCACATTTGTTGCATCAAAGAGGCAGAATACACTGGGGGGATTAGGCTGTGGCATCTCCCCTGCCACCCACCCCAAGCCTTGTGTTCAGGGATGTCACAGATTGAGATCAGCTACAGAAAGAGAATGTACACCATCCAAGCTGACAAGTGCTACAATCAGGGCTTCATTTACTGCTTTGTTGACTCCAGAAATCAATGGAGCTCATGCCTATAATCCTAGCTCCTCAGGAGGCTGAGATCTAGAAGATGTAGCTAACCTGGGCAGAAAAGTCCTAAAGATGCCATCTCCAAAATAACAAGCAAAAAAATCCAAGCTGGCAGTTTGGATCAAGTGCTACAGGCAAACAAGCAAGGACTGCTGCTTCCCTGACACTCCATTCTCCATCCGGTACATCTTATTTCCTTGACGTCCATCCCCCTGCCCTTTCGCCACACTCTGTGCCTGTGCAGGGCTCCTTCCGCCCGAACTCCTACCCATCCCTTCCATCCTCAGGACACAGCTACCAAAATGGTCTTTTTCCATGCCACCTTCTTTGCCACTGCAGAGGCTCCAGAAGTTCCCACTGCTGGCCACAAACATCACCAGGATCTCAGGGAAGCCCACCCATAGTGGCTTAGAGCTCTCTTCTCTCTCCGGCCGCCCCCAGACTCCCACTTCACTGCCTTTACATGGTTCCAGAACACTCTGCCACTCACCCCTGCAGCCTTCCCCCATGCTGTCCGCGGTCCCTGGTGTTATCCGGCCCATCGCTGGGCTAGTGGGCCCTGGGTGAGTGTGGAGTAGGGTGAGGGGCAGCTGAGAAAGCTCATAGTTCTAACCATACAACCCCAGATCCTCCACTATGGGATCTTCCTTCAAAGGACTCAGTTCTCTGAGCCTCAGTTTCCCCAAGCTAAGAGCATGGCCTCTGAAAGTTAGATGGAGCTAGCAGAAATCAGAGCAGGAGTGGGAATGGGCCAGTAGCTCCCGCCTGGGACGTGGTACCCCAAGAGCAGCAGTCAGGCCCCACTGACCTGTGGGACTCCGGCTCATGATGATGGGGGTGGCGGCGGCCCCCACGCTAGGGCTCTCGCTGCTCGGGGACGGGCTGTAGACAAATACCTCCTGCTTGAAGGGCGAGGTTGTGGACGGCTGGCTGCTCTGGGGAGAGAGGCTGGGTGAGCGAGGCTGGGTGAGCAAGGCCAGTACACTGGCTGCCCATGGGGGCCTCAGTTAGACCTGAGAAAGACCCCACCAGCCCCAGGCAGTTGCTGCTCTTCACCTGTCCAGGCCTACTCTCTCCTTTCTGCTGCTCTAGCCCTGGCTCCAGAAACCCCCCTACCCCATGCTCCAGTTAGGGCCTCCAGGAAGGACCTTGTCCCCTCTCAAGCCAGGTCCCATGGCAGGGACAGCACCCAGCCTGGCTCTAGTCCTCCACTGAGACACCCCCATACTCAAACACTGCCCCCTACAGGTGGTGACCGCTGCCCAGGCCACCTGTTGCCCACGGCACTATTCTTTTTATTCTTCTTATCCTTAGCTGGCACATGGAGCCAGTTAGGCCCCAGAGCGCTGTCACCAGCTGGCCGAGGTACACCTACCCCACTGTCACACTCTTCCATGGCCTCCCCCTCCCCGGCAGTGCTGCTGAAGCTGCTGGTGCTGGAGGAGGAGCGGGAGATGTTGGCACGGCCATTCTCTTTCAACTTCATGAAGGGCCTACACGGAACAGGACACAAGGCAAGCAAGCCCTGGTTACAGGGGGCACCAAGGTCTCCTCAGGCCTCAGGCCCTCCCCAGACTTAGTGGCCAACAAACCCAGCAGAGAGTGGAGTTTGCCCACACTGGCTCCCTTTAGGTTCCAGAAAGTTCCAAAGGCAAGAGGTGTCACGCTCTGTTTGCCTGGAGGCATTGGGTACATTCAGGACGCCGAATAGCAAAAGCCACCCTTCGTACCTTCCTCTCCACCGCTCCCCCCTCACACACTCTTACTTCTCTTTGTTGGGGCAGATTTCTGGAGAGCTGGGATTCGATGAGGTCTCAGACTTTATCTCCTGAGAAGAATGTCCGCCATCTGGGGTCTTGGGGGTGCTGGAGGCACTGTCACTGCGGGAAGGGACAGGAAGAGGAGAAAGGTCACAGAGGAAATCCCCAGACAGAGCCCTGGCTGCAGGGTCCCAGGCCCTCTACAGAGTGTGGGTGCTGGGACTTCCTTCCTCATCCAGGCCCCCAAGATGGCCACAGACACAGGGGGGCTACGTGGCTTCCTGTAGTAAAGGCCACACTAGGTTCAGAGGTGAGAGTCAGGAATCACCAAAACTCTGGCTTGATGGCAGAGAGCATATGTGGGTGCCCAGCATTGACCCTGTACCAGCTGTCAGGAACACCACTCGAGCTACTACTTTATATAACTGTATTCTTGAGACTTAGTACATGTGGCTCACAACCCCTCTAGTGAGAGTGGACAAGTACATGGTTTTTAGTGGGTTCACAATAGTGCAGTCTCCACCACAATCTAAGTTTAGAACATTTTTAGAGTTATTAAAAGAGATCCCTGGCCCCATGTACAACCACCCCCCTTCCCCCTGCCCCCACCCTATGGACTTGCCTGCCCTAGACTTTTCATGGAAATGGAACTACATACTGTGTTATAGTCTTTGCACCTGTGTTCTTCACTAGCATATTTTCAAAGTTCACCGACATTGCAGCATGCATCAGTCCCTCAGCTGTCTGTGTTGCAATAATATTGCATTTTATGAATAGAATATATTTTATCTATCTAGCTATCAAGTAATGAACACCAAATAGCTTCTGTTTGGAGCTACTATGCATAATGTTGCAGTAAATGTGAACTAATCAGGCTAGCTTTTTGTTTGTTTTTGCTCATTTGATTATGGGGTTTTCTTTGGTGTGTGGGTGTGGGTGTACGCACGCGTGCACACACGCACATGCGCACACACACACCAGTAGTATGGCTTAAAGTCAGGCCCTTGGCTCTATCCTAGGCTGGAGCTCTGCCACTTGAGCCACATCTCTACTTTTGGCTTTTTGCTCATTAATTGGAGAGTGAGAATTCTCATGGATGTTCCTGCCTAGGCTGGTTTAAAACTGTAATCCATAGATCTGTCTCCTGAGTAGCTGGAATTATAGGCATGAGTCTCTAAGCACCCTGGCCTACAAGTTTATTTTATTTTTTGGATGCCAGTCCTGGGGCTTTAAATTCAGGGTCTGGGATCTGCCCCTGAGCTTTTTTTTTTCTTTTTTGCTCTACCATTTGAGCCATAGCTCCACTTCCAGAATTTTTGGAGGGGAGTAGTTTAGTGAAAATAAGAACCTCTAGATTTTACTGCCTGGGATGGCTTTGAAACATGATCCTCAGATCTCAGTCTCCTGAGCAGCTAGGATGAAGTGCAAGAGCCACAGCACCATGCTGGGTTTGTTTTATTCTCTTGGGCCTATAACTAGGGGTGGAATGTATAATACTTGTTTAGCCAGAATGCTTTCCAAAGTATTTGCACTATTTTAGACTCCCACCAGCAGTGAGCAAGGGCTCCCACCTCACAGCCTCTCTAACAATGTTTGTGATGTGACTTTCTTTTTTTTAATCATAGCTGCTCTGGAGATGCTCATGGCCTTGCGGCACTTTTGACAAAGTAACTGATGAGCTGTCAACCCCCATAATCCACTATGCCGGGCTTATTTACACATCTGGAACAAATGCAATTTCTTCCCTCCTGGTTTTGGGGACCCCACCCTCTGCAGCCTCTTCCCCCTGCCCCCACTCTGTTCCCAGTTGCCTTCACCAGCTCTATCCTCCACTTGACCTTGGACACTGGGGTTCCACACAGTCACCCTCTGGATGACCATGTTCAGTCCCTCAGCTGTTTCTAACCTGTACCTCTGTCCTGCTGCTGCCCCCACAGCTTGCCTTCTGCCTGCCTTCTCCAGTCAAGGCCTCTCTCGGGAGCTGAAGAGCTGGGTATCTCGGCTGGCTGACCCAGCATACCCATACACAGGCTCCGAACACAGAATGTGATCCTCCTCACAGAGGAAGAAGGCATGAGTGCAGCCACACCTGTATTGCATGCATAGGTGGCTAATATGCCACCTATGGCTTAAAGCCAGAGAGCTTGGAAACCTGGAAGCCAGGCTAAATGTCTTCCTCTCCCACACAGAACAGTGAGCTCCTAGAGGGCAGACCATGTCTTTCATAGCAACCCTCTAAGCACTTAGCACCATGCCTGGCATAGGGCAGGCACTCAATAAAGCTGCTTGATGAATTAATGGACAAGTGGGTTCATCTGGGCCCATTATAGGATTATAGTGCACTCCTGGAATGAGACTGGGAGGATCATCGTTCAAGGACAGCCGGGCATAAAAGTTCATGAGAACTTTTCTCACCCAAGAGTTAGTACAGCTGCATGCACCTATTATCTTAGCTACAATAAGAAGCTGAAAATAGGTGGATCAAAGCCCAGGCACACATGTGGGCAGGAATCAAGACACTCTCTCAAAATTAACTAGCACAAAAAAAGTTCTGGAGACGTGTCTATAGTGGTAGAGCACCCAACTAGCAAACCTGAACCTCTAAGTTCAAACCCCACTACTGCCAAAACCAAACATATTTGTTTTAAAAAGAAAAATGGAAGCTGGGTGTTGGTGGCTCACGCCTATAATCCTAGCTATTCAAGGGGCTGAGATCAAAGCCAGTCCAGGCAAGAAAGTCCATGAGATTCTTATCTCCAATTAACCACCAGAAAACTGGAAGTAGCACTGTGGCTCAAAATGGTAGAGTGCTAGCCTTGAGCAAAAAGAGCTCAGGGACAGTGCCCAGGCCCTGAGTTCAAGTCCCAGGACCAAAACAAAAAACAAAAACAAAAAAACACAAATGGGTTCATCAATTAAAAGATCATCCTGGAAGCCCAATTAACTCAATTAACTCTACCTGTCAGAATTAGGGAAGACTTCCATGAACAAAGGGGACACTTGGAGCCAGGGTGGGGGGTGTAGCTCGGTGCTTGAGCCCTTGCCTAGCATGCATAAGTCCCTGGGTTTCATCTCTAGCACAGGGGATGGGGAGGAGAGGACAAAATACACATGCATGTGCGAGGGAGCACTGAAAAACAGAAGGCAAAGGAAGACAGACCCAGCCTGGGTCACTATGGTACGAACACAACTTTGCAGATGCATGCTGGGAAGGGTCAACTACACTCCGAGGATGACAGCTGCATGGGTGATGGATGTTGGAGTAGCCAAAAGTGTGCACGTGGAGACAGGGGTTGAGGATAGCCATCTCCCGATGCTGAGAAAAGCTCTCCCCATGGCTGGGCACCTGACAGCTGTCAAGGAGAGAGCTGACAGACCCCACAACTGGAAGGCATTGGGGTCCTGACAGTTACCATCTCGTCCGGCTGTCCCCGGGGCCTTCAGAGCCCGTGTGTAGGCGAGGGAAGAGCCCTGATCGCCGCTTGATGGGGCTCCGAGACTGGTTCTTCACAGTGGCCGCTGCCACAGGAGGCTGCCAATAAAACCACCAGAGTCAGTCCACACCCCCAGCCCAGGTCCTCTTCCCTCCCCTCTCTGGCCTACACCTGGCTCCTGGTCCGGGTGTGGGAGCCCAGAAAACAGAACATGGCTGACATGCTTTGTGTTTCCCTGCCTGCCCAGCCCCGGGTGCAAGCCAGTCAGGCCCACACCCGCAGAACCCAGGGCTCTCTCTCCTGGGGATCTGTGCCAGAGGGACACAGAGAATAAACGGACTCAAGCAGACCTGTGTGTAATCCTAGATCTTCAGTTTAACTGGGAGGCCTTTAGCAAGTTTCTTAACCTCACTGAGAACCTCCTTTTTCCTCAAATGTAGAAGGGAGCTCACTGTAGCACCTGCCCAAAGCAGCTGTCAGGAATCAGGTGAGATCTAGTGAACTCAGGGCCTGGTTGCCCAGCAAGCTAGAGTGGCCACTGCATGCATGAACAATAACCAACGAGTCACTCCTCATTGGTTCAGGTCCCAAGCCCTCAGGGAAACATACTCCAGGACCATTCTGCAAGGTCCAAAAGAGAAAGCCCAGGTGTCAAGGAAATTCAGAGAAGAGGATGAGAGGACTACTAATCCACTGGAGGGCACTACCCAGGCCACACCCCCAAGCAGCCTCAGTTTCCCTCATCCAGCTTGCCCTCCTCAAACCAAACACTGGATGGAGGTGTGCTTCCCCCAGAGGTTTTGGGGGTACCCTCTGCCAGGACCCAGTGGGGTCCAAGGCCCACCTCACTCACCGAGAAGGTGGCCTTGGTGAGCTCCATGTTGTTGTGGACGATGCCTCCGCTGAGGCTGCCAGGGATGCTCCCACCATGCCCCTTCCTCTGGCTGCCCACCATTGTTTCCATGGAGTGGCTGCGCACACGGATGGCCCTCTGTGGGGACAGCAGGGGAGGAGGGTGACAAAGCTCCCTCTGGGTAATGATCCTGTCCTTAGCATGTAAGTACACACACACACATTCTCGCATATACATGCATAAGCACACCCGTGTGTGGATACGCACACATATGAACACCTGCATGAGCACATATTCAGTCACACGCATGCATGAGCACATATGCACATGTGTGTGCACATGCTCACAGTGCACACATATACACACATCTGTCACACGCGTGCATGCCCTCATACATAAGTGTGTGCATGTGAGCACATGAGCGCACACATGCACAGACATGTACACTGACATGTGCACAGTCTCTAGCACATGTAGAGAATTCCCCCAATGTTCTGACAAGGTAGCACCCCAGGCAGAGAGGTCTGAGGACTCAGCACCTCAGCACCCTACATGCTAAGGTTGACATCTTCATCTGACAGGTTAGGAAGTGAAGCTCAGAGCTCAACAGGCCTGTGTGACAATGGTCCAGTGAGCAACTTCTCGGAGCTACAACTTCCTCGTCAGTAAAGGGGGATTATAGATGCCTCACAATATCAAGGCAGGAGTAGGCCCAGGCTGCTGCTGAATTGCACGCTGATTCTCCTTTCAAAAAAACAAATCAAGTTTCTTCTCATATGCATACAGTGGATGACCCTTCTGCTGTCACCCACAAAGTGAGCCTTGTATAACAGGGGCTTCCCTCACCTCGGAGGAGCTCGTGATGAGAACCACGGGGAGCCCGCCCTCTCCACACCCCCAGGGAAAGCTCACACGGGACCAAGTCACCATCGGTCTAAGGTGGTCACTTCACCCATGCCCATGGAATGCAAGCAAAGGCCTGGGGGGGGGGGCTTCAGGGAAAGGTCTCCTCGGTGGTTCCCCACACACATGCGGCCTACATACACCCCACCCCGGGGCAGCCATCTTGGAGTCAAGCCTGAGGCACAAAGCTGGCAGAGAGAAAAGACAGAAAAGACCCTGAACACCCATGGTCCATGGAACCACCAGTCAACGAGCTGTGATCACATGAACAAACAGATTTTCCTCACCATGGGGTAAGCCTGTCCAGGTGGGGTGCTCCCAGAACCCCAGTTTCAGAAAACAGACAGAAGGACTAAGCTGTGGCCTGATCCCTTCCTCTCCAAACACACACATACACACACACACACACACACACACACACACACATACACACACACACACTCTATGTGCCAACTGACAGGTGTCTCTGCAGGAAGAATCAACACTTCCTGCCTCTGAGACACCCAGGAAGAAATGCATCTACAACGCAGTGGTCCCAGAAAAACAGCATACATAATACTCCCAGCTTTCCCTGAGACTTCTCCAGGAGGATGTCTCCAAGCCCAGGAATGGCAAAGAGCCCTATCCTGCCTGCCTTTCTATCTGGACAACCAGAGAAGATTCACCAAGGCCATTTACAACTATGACAGTCCTGGAGATGAGATGCCAAGAATGAGGCACAAGTCCACCAGTCTCATAGTCCCTGGGGTCATCCAGCCTCTCTCTTCTGAATCAAAGATGTCCCTGGGGGTAAAGTCATCACCTCTCCACACTCTGGACCACAGAATGGTTGCCTAGCAACAGCGTTCCTGTGACGAGGTTGCGACAGCCAGCACATGTGATTCACATCACCACCCAAGCGTCAGAGCTTGGAGACACTAATGGCAGGATGCTGACACATCCCTGGATAACGATAAAGCATTCCTCAATGAGGTATAAGCTCCATAAATCTCAGCTTCTTTATGGGCCTCTGGCCCTCAGGTGTGGTCACCACCACTATTGTCATCAGTAATGGCTTCCCAAGCTCACCATTTATGCTCTGCTCTGCGATCAGTGGCGTCTTCCTTATGAAGGATCCAGGGTAGGTTAGGAAGCTCCATGTGCTGTGGGATCCTGTCTGGTCAATCTACTGAGCTTTGCAAATACAAATCATATTGAACTCCCACAATGCCGAGCTTCTGAGATGAGAAGTAGCTAAGGGACCCTTGGAGACAAAGATACTGAGATGGATCCAGTATGGGAGCTCTAAGGTCTGGCAAAAGGCCTTCCCCCTTCTAGCATGGAAAAACCAGGATAGCAGGTGACCATTCGAAGTCACACAGCTGTGGTTCCATGGAATGAAGGGAGTGGGGCCAAGTATAAAACCTGTGCTCTCTCACTAGACCACAAAAGGAAGTGGGGGCCATCCTGATATCACAATTTCCTACCTCAGGAGAAAAGGGGGTCTGGAGATGCCAAAGGCTGGGTTTGGGGGAGGGAGGGTCCCACTTGGCCCTGGCAAGTTTCATCCACCATCAGTGGTACTGCTCAGGCCACAGTGCCTGATGAGTCTTGCAGGTATGGCAAGGACCCTGTATACTTGAGGGTATCTGCCGCCTTTTCTGCCACTAGGGGTCAGCGCAGACTAACACATTAACCTGCCCAGGCCCTCAAAAGCTGAAATTCAGCCTGACATCCTTGTGGAGGTCCTTGTTCTGTCCTTCCTCCTCCTCCATTCTGTATGATGAGCTCAGCGGATGGCTCAGTATTTCTCAAAATGTAGCACACACATGCTTTATGTGCATATCACATGGATCTCACCACGTGTTCACTTCACTGATGGCCACAAGTCCAGGGATCAATGTTTCTCAAAGGTGAGTGTCTAACACTGATCTCCTTCATGATGAAAACATTCCTCTATGAGTCCCAGGAATATGTCCACAGGGCCCCATGGCTGCATCTACACTGCTGACATCACAACCCACCTCTTATGCCTCACAAACAGCTTTGAATTGTGCAACATCACTGTAAGAGCCGTTTTTAATCATTGGAAAGAAAAGAGATTTTTATCTAAGCGAAAATGCAAACTTTAAAAGTGTTGGTAGGAGAAACAGAGTCCCAAGAATCTCTTCAAACAGCTCGATTTGAAAAACAGGTCGAGCTGTCCCGCAGGACAGGAACTGGTCTGTATGGCATAGAGGAAAGCTTCAATCACAGCCGGGGAACTGCCTCAAGATGTGACAGACTGCTCCACAGGATACAAAGCCCAGGGCAGCAGAGCCAAGAGCTATGGCAAGGCTAATCCCCAGAGCACAAAGCATCCCAGCCCACCAGGGGGGAGAAGGACCAGTCCCTGGGGAGGTTAGGGGACAGATGGTACTGTCCCTTCAGCCCTGAGCATTCTATTGGGGTTTCTGCCTCCATGTGAGACAGGAACTTTTCTAGGGAGGGGATTCAACATCCAAATTTTGTTCCTGGGTAAATTCCATGAACAACACCCATCATTCTAATACCATAGTCCTGCCTAAGAAAAACCAAAACTATGGCTAGGTGACTGTGGCTCATACCTGCAATCCTAGCTTCTCAGGAGGCTGAGATCTGAGGATCACGGTTCAAAGCCAACCCAGATAGGAAAGTCTCTGAGACTCTTATCTCTGATTAACCACCCAAAAAATCAGAAGTGGTGCTGTGTCTCAAAGTGGTTAGAGCACTAGTCATGAGTAAAAAAGCTCAGGGACAGTGCCCAGGCCAAGTTCAAGCCTACGACAGACACACCAAAACAAAAACAAAAAACCCTAGGAACAAAGTCATAAGCTGAGCCAGTCAGGCCTATACCATCTCCCTTCCACTCACCTGACCCTCCTATCCCTTACCCCACCTGTGAGAGCAATAGGACAAGGGCAAAAGGAAGAGCATCCATGAGCCCCCAGCTGGGAGGAGAGAAATGAGCTGGTCATAGCCACCAAGGCTCTGAAGGCTCCATTGGTATGCCCGACTGTGACAATTCCTCCCCACAGTCTGACCATGGAGACAAGCATGAGGGCTGAATGGAGGAGCAGGTCTGTCTGTCTTAGGCCAAACTTTCAAAGATTTAAAGGTGAGAAGAACCCTCTGGCAGCTGGGCTCAAACACAAGTCATAGTAAAGTCTTGAAGCATCACTCTCTTAGAAACCCCTCTGGGAATATGCCAGGTGCCCTGGAATCAAGGCCACTCCTAGCAGAGGCAGAACATTGGACACGGGGCTGCAGGAGACTTGCATCAAGTGGGTACGCCATCTCATTTATTGGACAGCATGGGCCTAAGATGGTCTAGGTTATAAAAAATATCTGAAACTTGAAGCTGGGCACTGAGGGCTCACGCCTGTAGTCCTAGCTACTTAGGAGGCTGAGACCTGAGGATTATGGTTCAAAGCCAGTCTGGGCAGGAAAGTCCGTGAGACTCTTATCTCCAATAAACCACCAGAAAACAGGAAGTGGCGCTGTGCATCAAGTGGTAGAGTGCTCACCTTGAGCCAAAGAGCTCAGGGACAGCGCCCAAGCCCCACAACAAGAACAACAACAACAACAAAAATCTGAAACTTGAAATTGCCACTGTTAATGCTAAAATACAATAAAAAAAAAACCTGGGAAACTCAAAGTGACTAATGCTTCATTAAATATCTGAAAAGTAGAGCATTACCCAGGCTCTGGTAACTCACACCTGTAATTCTAGCTACTCAGGATGCTGAGATCTGAGGATTGAGGCTTGAAGCCAGCCTTGGCAGGAAAGTCTATGACACTCTTATCTCCAATTGACCACCAAAAAGTCAGAAGTGATAAGAGTGCCAGCTTTGAGCAAAAAAAAGCTAAGGGACAGCACCCAGACCCCAAGATCAAGCCTCAGTGTGGCGCATGAGCACACATGCACGCATACTCATACATACACACATGTACACTACAGCATTAACTAGTCAACTCTGATCATTCTGCATAAAGCACATTTACTACAGGCCTGTAAGTGGCCCTGCTGATCTGCCAGTCCCCAGTCTATTTTCCTACTATCCAGCCTCACATTTACCCGTCTCTCAACTGGACTATCCGACCTGGCTCCCCCTTCCTCCTCAGCTTATTTTCTCCCTCATCTCTCTTGCAGCTTGATTCCCCAATTTATCCTCCTTCTCCTTAGCTGTCACCACCCATCAGGATTAAAATTAATATGTCAGGAATCTCCCACCAGCCTGGACACGCAGCCCGGCTCTGCCCTTCCTTATGAGGAATCTTGGCAGCTGGCTTCGGCCAGGGCCAGCAGAGCCATGCCTTGCTCTTGGTGATCCAGCCAGACAGTGAAGGATGGCCCCCAGCCTACCCAGGCCCAGGATCCCAGCACGAATGGGGTTGTCACCAAGTCAGATGCTAGGAAGGAGTATTAGGCAGCTGTGAAAAGCATGAATTTTAGAGTCCAGGAGACTGGAATTCAACTCTGCCTTCAGGACAATTTGGAGCAAAGTATCTAATCTTTGTGAGTCTTCATTTTCTCACATGTAAACCTATCTATTAAAATTGAGCCTGAATTATTATTATATCAAAATTATTATACCCATAAGAATAGTGTTCTCTATTAGGGCACTAAGGGCAGTCGGAGGTTTAAGAGGGAGTATAACACAGCCTATGAAACCCTGTTACTGTGTTGAATGCAATGGGCACTTCCAGGCATTATTTCAAAAGCAACTTGATGCTTTGGTATTTCATGCCTGTAGTCCTAGCCAGTCTAGGCAGACAAATGTAAGGGACTCTTATCTCTAGTTGACAAATCTGAGACTCTTATCTCTAGTTAGTCAGCCAAAAAAAAACACAGAAGTGGATATGTGGCTCAAGGGATATAACACCAGCCTTGAATAAAAAAAAAATGAGAGTATGAGGCCTTGAGTTCAAAACCCAGTACACACACACACACACACACACACACACACACACACACACACACACACCCTCTCTTGGTGGTAGAGGTCCACTTCCTCATCCATAAGTTATTAACAACTCTATATAACAAGAGCTCTGAAGCTTGAAGACTCTCAAGACCTTCCCCAGCACCATATAGAGCTGGGATTTAAAATCCTACACATACTGTATCCAAAGGGGAATCTTCAAGCCAGCAGAACTTTGAGTAAACAACCAGAGAGCCTGGATTTAAAAGAGACACTACCTCCAAAGTCTAAGGACTTCAATGGTCCTGTGGCCTCTCTCAGCCAGCCTGTCTCTATGTGTGTTAGTGGACACACAAGAAAGAACCATGCAGCCCACTACAAAGGGTTAATTACAGCCAAGCTGAAACACATGCTGGACAGAAGTCTTATGTGGACCAACAAGCACTAAGCCAGTGGTGCTCTATCCTTGTGCGCCCTACATCAGTTCCATGGCTGTCCAGGTCCACTTGAATACTTCCAGGGTCAGAGATCTCACTACTTCCTTTAGCAGCTCATTCTGATTAAAGGCTTTCCTTTGCAATGCCCAGACGGATTTGTCCTTGCCACCACCCCACTGGGTCAGCCAGAAGCAATCATCACAGCACCCCCACAACAGCTGCTAAAGCCCCTTCAGCCTGTGCCCTTGCTCCTGTCATCCTGCACTGAGCTCCCGGCCCCCCAAACACAGACAGGTAAAAGCTATACAATTGTTTTTTGTTTTGTTTTGTTTCGCTTGGCAATACTCAGGTTTGAACTCAGGGCCTCCTGTTTGCTAAACAAACACTCTGTCACAGGAGAACAATACCATGCTTGATTCACACTGGCTCTTCCCCACTACTAATTCTACCTGTCCCTGTTTATCAGACTTCTGGGCCAGGAAATGAGGCTGCGGGTCACGGAAGGATGTGGGGGAAGGCTGGACACAGTGTTGGCCACTCTGATCTTTCACATTGCCGACATCTCTGCCAGCTTGCAAACACCTGAGACCTCCCCTTCAACTGTCCTATCACCACATCGAGCTGGCCTTGGGCTCTGGGCCTGGAGTCTCAGGGAGTAGAAGACTTCCTGCCACAGCGATCCTCAGCTACCCGAGTATCATACCTTAAAAGACTCCAGGAATCCCCCGTGGCCCCCATTCTCAAACTTGTCCTCCTCTGGGCCCAGTCCCAGCATGGCCTGTGTGTGTGCATGGAGCTCATCGTGGAGGTTGTCCAGGAGCGCAGCTCTGGTCCGGTCCTAGAAGGGACGAAGGCACAGGTGCTGACAACAAGCCCCCTCCTTACAGTTCTCGACACCTGAGCCAGAGGCTACTGGTCTGCTACAGTGTGTACTTACAGCCAGTCTGGGCTTCACACATACCAGTACTTCCATTAACACAGATGTTCTTCTGTCCCTTCTTCCTCAGCCCCTCCCTCCTCCCCTATGGCTCTGCCCTGGTGTCATCCTCCCCCAGACCATCACCGACTTCCACATCTGGCTACACTTTGGCAGAGGCTCTTCTCCAATCATCAGGCATGTATGCATGCACACAGCCTCCAGGGGGCACCATTCCCACAGACAGGATGAGCAACCGGCCTTGGCAGGCACCCAGAACAGCAAGTCCTACTAGCTCAAGCCCAGGCCTAGGAGCGGCCCCCTCCCCCCAAATTCTACTTCCCTCTACTCCTACTTGCAGGAGTCCGTCAGGTCTCAGCCCGGGGCCCTAAGTTATTCCCTCCAGTGAGGTGTCTGCCTTCAAGATCTCTCCTGGTCTCCTATGAATCGTGTTGAACTGGCCGTCCTTCCTGTCCTCCCGCCGCCCCACACACACACACAACCTGTCCTGACCACTGGCCAGTGATCCCTTTATCAAGAAAGTCAAACATGTCGCTCTCCTGCCTAGCAACTTCACAAGGCCCCTCACCACTTTTTATCTTTTGTGGTTGCTGTTACTTGTTTGTTTGTGTTGGTCCTGGGGCTTTGTGCTCAGGGTCTGAATGCTGTCCATTAGTTCCCCCCCAACCCCCCATCCCCGCTCAAGACTGGCACTACTCCTCCACTCAAACCACACATCTAGTTTCAGTTTTTCCAGGTTAGATATAAGAGTCCGACCAGTATTCCTGCCCCAGGCTGGTTTCGAACCATGATCCTCAGATCTTCCTGAGTAGCTTAGGTTACAGGCATGAGCCACTGGTGGCCAGCCCCACAGCCCTTCTCATCTGCAATAGAGCCGCACCATTCTAGCTCTGAGAAGCCTCCGTCAGCACCCCAGACTGCCGGAGATCTCTCATCAAGTCACCCTTTGTGGTTCTGGCTGGCCACTACTCATGCTATCGTGTGCCTGCAATAACCCACCCTCTGTTTCCCCCTGCCCAAATCTCCATCAGACATCCAGATTCGGAAGGTCAAGAGCCACCTCTTCCAAGAAGCCTGAACATACCTCTAGTGTCTACCCCCTCACCCCATACCCCCAAAAAGCAGTCTCTATCCTCTGAGCAACCCTGACTCCATCATGACCCAGAGTTGGCACACCAGATCACAATGGCTCCTCCCACCATCCAGGGAGCCTAGAAGGACAGAAACAATGTCTCATTTACCTCTGTGTTTCCAGGTAATATAGTAGGTGCTCAATCCATCCACAATAGGTTCACTAGACTTGGAGTCTAGATTTCCCACAAATGACACAAAGCAGAAAGGTGGGAGGGTTTTTTTGGGGGGGGAGTTGCTCCCCAACTTAATAGGTCCCCAAAATGCAACCCACAGCCCCCCCGCCACACACACACTCAGGAAAGCTGATCAACAGCAGGCTGAGAGGAAGACTTCAGACCTACGCTCTTACCTCCAGCTTAGCAAACTTGTCCGACTTGCAGCAAGCATTCTCTGCATTGGTGAGTTTGGTAAGTAGAAACTCCCGGAACTCCGGGCCCTGGGACAGACAAGATGGCTCAGAATTGGCCCATCCCCAGCCACTGCTGAGAAAGTTTCAGCCACAGACAGTAACAGGCAGGCAGGACCAGCGGTCCGAGGACAGAACCTGATAGGCCGCTTTTGATATCGGATCATTTCTAGCCAAGGCAAGCCCCATCTATATGGAAAGCAGCTTCTCCAGCACTAAGGAGCCCACGCTCCACGTGGCACTGCCTTTAACTAGAGGCAATCCTTGCCCATGGCTGCTGGGATCTGAGTATGGTAAAACAAAACCCTTCCTCTAAAAGACTGGTAGCTCCAGCATCAAACACCCCAACAAATGGCCCTCTGTGAGGCCAGACAGACGGCCAGTAAAGAAATTACCCCCTTCTCCTCCCTAGACCTGCAGAGGGATCTCCCTGATGTCCCTGACCCAAATTCTGCCACATTTCATCCCACTTCGGTACACCTATGAGAAGAAAGGAGTTGCTGACCTTCTGGAAAACAGGGGGGCTGGGCAGCGGAGGGCCGAAAGCAGGTACATCTTCCCGAGCAGTGACAGAGACCTGGAAGCAGAAGTCACGTGTACGTGATGGGAGCTTCTCCAAAGCCACGCTTCTTACAACCCATCAATTCACCTTCTCCTCCCTCCAAGCCTCGGAGCACAGATCAATGTCCCCATGCCCACTGCCAACCTAGTCGCCCAGCTACTGTCCCACTAGTGGGGCTGCATGGTGTGGAGCGGTCTCATCCTCTCCTTTGCCTTCCTAGGGGGAAGAGAAGCAAGTTTGGCAAGATGACCGGAAGGGGTGGAAGAGCAGTGGGACCCTGATTATGACACAGTGCTGGTACTGCTGCGTTACCATTTTGATGTTAATCCTACAGAGATGGCCCAAAGAGAAATACCCATTTTACAGATGAGTAGACATGCCTGGGGACACAGAGTCACACAGAGAGCAAGACAGAAAACAGACCTCTCCAGCCCAGCTCTGGGCTTCTTACAAGCTGACCATACATCAGCCTCCCTTCTGAAAGGAAAGGCTGGCTGTATTTACTGAGAGCTTTGGCACTACCAGTGAACCAGCTCTGGTCCTATACATAGGCTTGGCCAATCTAGGTTAGACTTGAGCTAACACAGCTCCAGGGCCCTGGCATGGAATTGAGGGTGGAAGGCATCTTGGCCAGGTTGAGAGGTCTGACCTATAACTGAGGGCATCCAAGTACTCAATCTGGGGGTTACTTAGGCTCAGGGCAGGCCCCGGTCCTCACCTCCTGTCTATACAGAGGTGCCCTCATTTCAACTGCATAGTCCACTAGGCTGCAGAGCTCCCAGGAGGCTGCCCTGTCCCTTCCCTGGGCAGCCGCTGACGTGGGTGCCTGGCATGCTGCCAGTCTCCCTGGCCTGTGAAGTAGAGCAGACGCGAGAGCCTGCCAGACCGGGAGAGCAGGCAGCCTGGGGCCCAGCCAAGGCAAGGCCCTGCCAAGGGCAGAGAGAAGGAAGCAGGGGAGCTGGTCAATGCAGGCTTTCTTTCCCCATGCTCAGAGCTGTCTACACAGCCCAAATTGCCATGGCCAGGGTCAGGAGATGGTGCGCTCACTGCTTCGATCGTTGGCTGAGCTGTAGCTGCTCAGCACCATTCCCCATGCCCCCTCCCATCCCCCCACCACACGCTAGTAGCCCAAGTCAAGTAATGTCACGCATACATGCATGTGTGCACGCATGCACATACACACAGCCAGAACTTGGGGTGGGGAGAGGAAGGAAGAAGGCTACTGAGAGGGTGTTCCCAGTGCTGGCATCTGGGGCCTGGGACAAAAGACAGGGGGCAGGCCCAGCTGTGCCCCCCTCCCTATCCCTTTTCTCCTCCTGTGGTCTTGGCTGACAGGGTGAATGGTTTCAGATACCCCAAGTCTCCCCACAGGAACACAGGGCAGGGACAGGGTCCTTCCTCTGACCCCATCCCAATGAGGCAGCCTCATTGCTTCCTCCTCTCCAGACATCGGTTTGGGTTAGCTTCTGAAAGCAGAAGTTCCCTGGGCACCATTCCACCTTCCTGCTTCTAAATCCAGCGATCTCGGAAGGGACGATGGTGCCAGCAGAGGCTCTGAGAAGCATGGGGGGCACGGGATGCTGCGGGAAGGGACAGTGTGAGGGCCAGAAGCCTGTCCTAGTCCCCAAGCCCAGGTAGGCCTGAGCCTGTGAGGACCATGGACAGCTATGTTGAGGCGAGGGAGGCCTTCCCCAGAGATCTGCTTCATCAGAGGCTGACATCTCAGGGGGACCTCAGGAGTGGGGACAAGAGGTGTGCTAATAGTGGCTGAGCTCCAATGTCATACTGATCTGGGGAGAAGAAACTAAATTCCTACCTGAAAAAAATGTATCAGTGTTTATAGGGTCAGTTTCCCTCCTGTTCCAATGACTCCTGGGCAGGAATTCCAGCTCTCTGGTTCTGTGGCCTCAGCTCTAACTGACCCAAGTCATCAGACTCAGCCTTTTCCCTATACCATCAGGCTCATTCTAGAAGAATTTTAGAAGAGGACTTATAGCCAGACATCAGCAGCTCAGGCCTAGTATCCTAGCTACTCAGGAGGCTGAGTTCTGAAGATTGTGGTTTGAAGCTAACCCTGACAGGAAAGTCTGTGAGACTCTTATCTCCAACTAACCACCAAAAAGTCAGAAGTAGAGCGGTGGCTCAAGTGGTAGAGCACCAGCCTTGAGCAAAAAAGCTAAGGGACAGCGCCCAGGCCCTCAAGTTCAAGCCCCAGTATTGATAACAAAGGAAAAAGAAAATAAGAAAACAACACCTTTCTAAACACAAGGCCTGGCACCTTACCCCGGAAAAGGACAGAAGTCATAATCTGCTGTAGTTGTGTGGCTATGGTTTTTATTTATTTTTATTTTTTAGCTTTCTTGGTTGACCTGCGTCTAGAAAAAAAAGAACCTGAAATACAGAGCTCCCTCAAAACACTTCGGCAGCCACCACACACACACCCTGTCTCTGACTCCATCCTGTCGCACAGGGTGCCAGGGCTGGACAGAGCCCATAGGTCATGCAATACAACTTCCTCATTTCACACAGACAGACACAGAGGCCTAGAGAGGGAATGCACTGGCATAAGATCACACAGCACCCAGAAGCAGGGTCAGGACATGAGCCCCAGGCTGCCAAGCAGGGTATGGATCTGAGAACCATGCTTTCACCTAGTTTCACTTCGGGGGAAGTTTCTCTTTTGCTCTTCTACCTCTATGGGTAATTAAAAGAACCAGTTGGCTGGGCACGGTAATGCACACCTACAGTCCCAGCACTTGGGAGGATGAGGCAGAAGGCTCTTGAATTCAAGGCCTTCCGGGGTTACAGAGAGAGTGCATTAAGAAAAAAACATCTTAACAAAAGGAGAAAGAAAAAGAAAACAGAACCAGTTGGCTCTTTGAGCCACCCAGTGACTGAACTATGTGCATGGCTCCCCAGTGCCTCATCTTTCCTAGGTGAGCAAGGCCCAGCAGGCAACTCCCGGGTCTCCCTTCCTCGGTCCCCTCCCCAGCAGGTAGCCTGGTACACAATAGGTACTGAGTCAGGGAACTTGCTTCCACCAACATATTCACCAAGCAGCCGGTTAATTCATCCAAAGCTGGTGATCCCTGAAAGTGCTCAAGGCCAGAAGAACACAAATGTGTGTGTGGAATGGCATCAGCTGACCTCACAGGAGAGATTCCATTTGTGTTGTGGGTGTGTTTTGTGGTTTGTGGTTGTTGTTTTGTGGGGTTTTTTTTGCTTTATACTTTTTAATCTCGAATTTCACTTTAAAAGCAGGTATGAAGATGGGCCCCCATGGTTCATGTCCTATAATCCTAGCTACTCAGAAGACTAAGATCTGAGCCCAGACAGGAAAGCCTGTGAGACTCTTATCTCCCATTAACCTGAAAGAAAAAACAGGAGTGGAGATGTGGCTCAAGTGGTAGAGTATTAGCTTTGAGTGAAAAAGCTGAAAGACAGTGCCCAGGCCCTGAGTTCAAGCCCCAGTACTAGTACACACACACACACACACACACACACACACACACACACACAAAGTGATGTGAATTTTGCATGTAATACATATGGGTTTGTGCTGATGCCAGAGTAAAATAACTCCACCCATTATGAAGATGGCCATGAATTGCTGTAGTGTGGTAAGGACCCTAGAACCAGCACAGCCCAAGTCCGAATGGGGCATGCATTTCCAGGTTTCAGTGTCTCCCACGTCCTGCAGGTTGGTGGTTCTCCCTTCCTCCTTCTCCTCTACCTCCCTTTTCCTCTCCTGTTCATCTTCTCCACTTCTCTCCCTCCTACTCAACCATCATCTAGCACATGTGTATCACCAGCCTCCAAACACAGACCTCAGAGCATCTGGATCCTTGGGTTAGATGCACTGGAGCCTGAAGGCAGCAAGGTATATGAAGAGACCTTAGAAGGTGCCTTCCACCTAGAGCCCTGCTCCAGGTTCCAGAAATCTCGTAACCATAGCAACTCCCACATGAACAAGCACTAGTGTTCTGGCAAGTGGACCCACAACTTCCTCCAATAGGCTATGTCCTTACCTTGTAGGATGGGCTCTCAGTGCCTAGGCTCTCAGCCTGCACAACAATGTAGGCATGTAGGAAGTTGGAGGCAATCATATCAGGGACAAATGGCGTGTTTTCTTCTTGGAAGATGATGGCCACAATGTCATTCCCAATATGCCTCTTCCTCTGGAGCTAAACAAGAAGTGTCTCCTTGTTACAAAGCCACTTAGATACATCCTGAGAGCAGACAAGAGCTGGATGGGAAAGTCCTCATTGTATGATTACATAAGCCCTGAGCTCAGTAGCTCTCCAGGGAAGGGCTTCTTCCGGTCCTCAGAAGACATCAAGAGGAAGAAAAAGAAGCCGAGGAAGAGACTCAGGTTGTTAATTACCAGGGAGCATGTTACTGAGCTCAAGAGCATGCAGAGCCCCAACTCAAAACCCTAGGGAGAATCTTGCAAAGGTGAGGCCAGGTCTTGCCCTGGGAGAGCCTGTAACTGATCTGGGAGAAACTCAAATACAGGAGAAGCCACCTGAGAACACTACCGAGGCCGCCTGCCTGTGCTAAGTCAGCAGCTGCCCACAAGGTGCCTGGCAGCACCCAGGACGGAAGAGCATGAAGTGAGAGGGCCTGATAGCAACCTGAGAGGGTTTCCCAGAAGAGGAGGAAGTAGGGTGGGGTCTTAATGAAAATCTGGATGAGCCAGGGGAGGGGAGGGGCTTTTATGAAGCATCTACTGCCCACAGGCCCTATGCTCAATCCTTTTGCATTTACTGATCACTTGCTGTATACCGAGCACCAGGCTGGGCGCTTTCCTTCAAGTTGTCTTGCTGTATCTTAGGAAGAGAAAATGAGTCTCTATTCAGCCCCTGCCAAGAGTGCCAGGCTAAGGTACACAGCCCCAAGTAACCCACACTGAGCCTCAGTGAGAGAACGGAGACCAAAGGTGAGACCGCAAGAGAAAACTCAATCTGGCTACAAAAGGAATCCTGCATCCATTTGTTTTCTGGAACATTCTGTCGTTACTTGAACGCCAAACGCTAATTTCATTTGCCAATTTCCTTTTTCCTAAGGAGCCAGGCATGATGCTTACCATTTTACATCTCTGCTCCCTCCCCAGCTCCCTGCTCAGAAACAAACCGGTCTGAGTTTGGACAAAGGCCCATCTGCCCCTCTTGTTTTTCCAGAGATAGCCAAGGGGCAAAGAGTGGGGTAGGGTGACCTGTGGCTGGGTAGGCTTCCAGGGCTGGCGGCTCCTTTCAGAAGAGTCAGAGAATTCCCTGAGGATGTGTGGCTGTCACAATAGTATATGTGGGTGGGGAAGAGAGTTGTTATTGTTGTTTTGTTTTATAAGCCCTGTACGGGGGCTTGAACTCATGGCCTCAAGCTCTCCCTTAACTTTCTCACTCAAGGCTGGCATACTCTACCACCTAAACCACAGCTCCACAGCTTTTTGCAGTTAATTGAAGAGTCTCTTGGATTTGTCTTCCCCAGCTGGCTTCAAACCTCAGTCCTCAGATCTTAGCCTCCTGAGTAGCTAGGATTACAGGGATGAGCCACTAAGTGCCTAGAACAGCACTTATGGGAGGGAAGCAGGTGAATGCTGAGGATGCAGGTCTCATCCAGAGTCCCCATGCTCTGGCAGCTATGAGGCTGGGATTGCAGATGAGCAGGGATGTCGGGGAAGGGGTCCTCATTCAATCACAGCCTCATGTTGCCGGGACAAGAAGGAGGCCAGAAGCCTAGTGTCCTGGCCTGGGAACAGCTGGTATATAGGAAGCAGCCACATGTCTGGCAAGAACATGTGAACTCACAACAGTCCTGAGACAACTCCACTACACACCCCTCACCACCACTTGTACTGTATGCTCTGCTCCCGGACTCCACATTGCCTGGGAAACTTCAAAGAGGTCTTCCTTTCTCCTGATGCTGGGGCTGGACTCCAGAGCCTCGAGCAAGCCCTCTGCCACTGAGATCTATACCTGGCCTCCAGGGAGACTGTCAACAGCTCACCCCAGGCTGGCTGCCGTTTCCCATTGGTCAGATCCCAATGCCTCCCTCCACCGGGTACCTGTTGGGCATCTCCCTCAGTGAATGGCAGCTTTGTGGACACATGAAACATGATCTCCCGTTCCCGGAAGGTCGTGTACACTGACTCCACCCCTGTCTGTCCATGGGTCACATCCAGGCCTCCTCGGAACCTGCCAATAAAACCAGACAGGGGAGGAGAAAGTGAGATCAAGTGGCAACACAGTGCCACCTGCCCTGAGCACGTGTGGCAGGCAATGAGTGCAATGACAGCTGAGCGTGGAGGACAGAGGATCACAGGACGGCAGGGAGAAGTGTTCTTCTGATGCACAAAGTGCTGACCCTAACCAGAGACCTGTAATATCAAGATAAAGGCTTCAAGCCTTGGCTTGTCACAGTGCCAGACAAATGCCCAGCAGAGCTGTCAGGCAGCCCCCAAGGCTGGGCACAAGCCTTTGCTTCTTGAAACACCATATCCAAAATCCAAATCATCACTAGACCAGAGCCAGGGGCAAACACAGATGATAGCGAGCTGATATCCAGATGTTCAACTTCTCCCCAGCTAGTTCCTGATAGGAAGGCATAAGGGCACCCAGGAAGCTGCCCTCTCCAGCTAACACCTTACAGGCAGGAAAGAGAAGCAGGAAGAAGCTGTGGCCTTCCAGGAGCTGAGCTTCTGCCTTCATAGAAACATGGCTGCCAGCCTGGGACCACAGGCTGCGGCAAGGGGGAAGGGAAAGCTGCTGCAGGTTCCTCCGAGAAAATGAAATAAAAAGTGGGGCTGTGGTAGAGCATCAACCTTGGATGAAAAACTAAGAGACAGTGCCCAGGCCCTAAGTTCAAGCCCCAGCACTGGCACAAAAGGAAGGAGGGAAGGAGGGAGGGAAGGAAGGAAGGAAGGAAGGAAGGAAGGAAGGAAGGAAAGAAGGAAGGAAAGGAGGGAGGGAGGGAGGGAGGGAGGGAGGGAGGGCAAGCAGTAACTTTGCAGCAGCAATCCCATCCCACATCTAAAGGCCAAGCATCAATGCAATCAGACATCCTGCCATGCTGGATCCTCCCCACCTCTGCTGGCTCTTCAGGAATGCCAGACAGTGTGGATCCGAAGCTGAATAGCAGCCCTGCAATCCTGGTGTATGTCTAACCCTCACCTGCTCCCTTGAGGACAGAGATGTCCGACTCCCTTCCTGTCCCCACCCCCACCCCCACACCTCCTCCAGGACTGAAGGGCTGCATCCTCTTTGGCTGAGACTCACCCTTTAAAGTCCTGCAGTGTGATGGTGTCTCCCAGCAGGTCCAAGAACTCCTTGAAAGCTGGGCTCTCCTCATTGTTTCCAAACAGCTCCTCCTCCAGGGTCTAAAAGAGAAATAGGAGAAGTTAGAAAAGGCCTTTTGGGGATTGGCTAAGCAGGAGAACACCTGTCAAGCAAGTACAAGGCCCTGAGTTCAAATCCTAGTACTACTAAATAATAAACCTTCTTGGTGCAAGTGAAGAAATTGAATTTTCTAAATCTCTGGCCACTTGTTTTCTTCTTCCCTATCTCCCAATACATTTCCCCATATCTGTCCTCAATCAGAAGAAAGATTAATAAAGGATCACTCATCCATGCTGGAGCCTTGGACCTAGCTGATAAGACCTTTTTTTCCTTTTTCTTATTTAATAAAAAAGGAAAAAGAAAACAAGTGTGTAGTGGTAGGGTTTGAACTCAGGGCATTGTACTTCCTATGCAGGTGCTCTACCATTTGCTCCATGTCCCAGCCCTGTAGTTATTTTTCTAAATAGCTTCTTGAGTTTTTGCCTAGACCAGCTGGAACCATGATCATCCTATTAATGCTTCTGGCACAGCTGGGATTACAGGCCTACATCACCACACCTAGCTATTGGTTCAGATGGAGTCTAACTTTTGCCACAGCTGGATTCAACTGAAGATCCTCACAGTCTCTGACTCCCCAGGTGCTGGGGTTACAGGTATGAGCTATGGAGCCTGGTAATGAGACCTTTCTACTTGAGCAAAGATACACACACAAGTATTTGACTTAATACCAAAAACATGACGCATACATGAAAATTGATTGAATTGGGCTTCCAACAAAGAATTAGGATCAAGAACACACGAAGCAATCTCAAAGCTCTACAGTAAGCAAAAACACAAGGAGATTCCACTCAATACCCACTATAAGGAGTAAAATAAAAAAGAAATGTAATTGAAAGTGTGGGTGATGATCAGAAATCACAACCTCCACACGTTGCTCATCGGGATGGAAAGTGGTACAGTTCCTTTGGAAAACAGGCTAGCAGATCCTCAAAACACCAAATGCAGAGTTGCCATATCACCCAGTAATTCCACTCCCAGATCTACACACACCCACGAGAAAGGAAAACATGCATCTATACAAAAAAAAATTGTATATGGCTATGGGTAAAACCACTAAGCAAAACCACCTACAAGTGGAAACAACTCAAATCTCCAGCAACTGATAAATGGTAGTACTGATGAATGGGTGGTACAGACATTCAATGTAGTATTATTTGAGCATAAAATGGTGCTGACACATGCTATGACATTGATGAACACTATCTGCTAAGTGAAAAGCTGTCACCAAAGGAGTGTGGCCTAGCCTTTGCTTCCACTGAGACAGGAAGTGGGTGCATGGATGTCAGAAGCGGAGGGAATGCACGCAGGCGCCACTTCTGCTGCACAGTATGAGGCTCCTTTTGCGAAGGATGAAATGTTCTGGGACTAGATAGTTAATGAGTCATTGTGTGATGACAATAAAAATCCACCTTATAAAGATATAGCTCACAGACTACTGTGAATTGTATGACATGAAAATTATGTCAATAAAGTTACTTAAAAATTAACTGAACAGTAAGAAGTAATTTTAATTAGAAAATAGTCAATAGACTATTTTAATTAGAAAATAGCCAATAGAGGATATACACCCACAAAGATGTTCAACATCACTAATCATTAGAGAAATGCAAATTAAACCCATAATAAGACATCACCACACGTGCATAAGAATGACTAAAGACAAAGAATAACAAAGAATAATGATAGTTGGGCACTTGTGGCTCCTGCCTGTAATCCTAGCTGCTCAAGAAGCTGAGATCTGAGGTTTGCAGTTTGAAGTCAGCTTAGGCAAGAAAGTGCATGAGACTCTTATCTCCAATAAACTTGAAAAAAGTCAAACATGGAGCTGTGGGTGATGTGGTAGAACGCTAGCCTTGAGCAAAAAAGCTCAGGGACAGTGCACATGCCCTGAATTTGAGCCCCAGTCCTAGCATACACACACACACACACACACACACACACACACACACAGAGTGACAAACCACATCTGACAGAATGTAGAGAAACTCTTACATGGACAAGAGGTGCGGGAAAAACCACTTGAGAAGAGTTTGGCAGTTTCTTACAAAACTAGACATAGAATTGCCAAACAACTAGCTGTTGGACTCTAGGCCTGAATCCCAGAGCAGTGAAAACACAGGCTTAAGTAAAACCAAAGCCTGTGTGTCAATATTCATTGTAGTTCTGTTCATGATAGCCCAGAGCTGGAAACAACCCAGATGTCCATGAATGAATGAATGAATGAATGAATGAGTAAACTGTGTCATGGGTATACCATGGGATACTATTCAACAATAACAAACAACAACAATAAATGAGTGACCCACTTGAGAATATAGATGAATCTGCTCAGCAAGGAAAAAGCAATCCTGAAAGGTGTATGCTTCATGCTTACATTTCTATAATATGTAGAAATAAAGTTTTATTGTTCATGGCTGCCAGGGGAAAGGACAGCAGATTCAGGAGGACTAAGGGCTTGACTATGAGAGGAAAATTCAAGGGACCTCTATCTGTAGTCTTAGAAGTCTTCTGTTTCTGATTATGAAACCCACACAGGGATAAAGTGACACAGAAGGATATATACATAGAACACACCCATAAATGCATCCATGTTTACTAAAGAAACCTGGATAAGCTCTGCAGGTTATGTCCATTTCCATCTCCTGCCTATGATCTTGTGATCTTAGAAGACATAACTTCCTGGTGAAACATCTCCCTGTATAATTTTACAACTATATGTGAGTCTACCAATACCTGAAACTAAAGAGTTTAATAGTTAAGTGGCAAAGCTGAGCACAGCAGCAAACACTAACAGACTTAAAACACCAAACTAAGTCCATCTGAGAGACAAGTTTTCTCCATAGTGGAAGATCTGCAAACGGCAGGAAGATCTGCAAACATCCATGGACTGCAAAGGAATGGCTGCACACAAAAATGCTGCAGTTTGCCCCATTGCTTCACCAATGAAGTCTCCACCAGGAGGCTCCTTCACATGTCCTTAACTCCTGCTACTCTTCTGGGTCACACCAGGAATGGAATCTAGGGCCTCATTCACTCTAAACAGGTGCTCTACCTGACTTGCTCCTGCTTTATAATGAATAAAAGTGGACCTCAGATTCCAAACTTACAACAGACATCCCAACCTGGTAGATGGCAATCGCTTTGTTTTTAGTATTTCTTTTTAGAATTATTTCACTTTGTAGCAAGTCACACTGATTTTCCAGTTAGAATACTGAATTTCCTTTAAAAACAAATGCACAACTAAATAAGTAAATAAATAAATTAGCTGAGTGCCAGTGGCTCAAGCCTGTAATCCCAACTACACAGGGGGCTAAGATCTGAGGATCAAAGTTTGAAGCTAGCCCAGATAGAAAACCTGTGAGACTCTTAACTCCAATTAACTACCAGAAAAATGGAAATGGAGCTGTGGCTAAAGTGGTAGAATGCTAGCCTTGAGCAAAAATTGCTTGCCCATGCCCCGAGTTCAAGTCCTAGAATCCACAATAAATAAATAGTCAACAAACAAACAAAAACAAATGCACTAGCTGGTTGAGGTGGTATACTGTAGCATGTGGGAGGCTGAGGCAGAAGAATCGCAAGCTCAAGACCAGCCTGGGTATTTAGAAAGTTTTAGACTACTCTGGACTATCATAGATTGTCTCAAGGAAACAAAAGCTAACTAAATATACTAGGGGTTTGGTGGATAGCTAGGCTAGTTTTAAACTTAAGCTTAAAATTCTTCCTTTTTTTTTTGTTTGGTGCCAATACTGTGGCTTAAACCCACAGCCTGAATGCTATCCCTTCACTTTTTCTGCTCAAGGCTGGCACTCTACCCAGTTGAGCCAGTTTCACTTCTAGCTTTTCAGTGGCTAATTAGAGATAAGAGTTTTGCAGATTTTTCTGCCAGGGTTGGCTTTGAACTGCAATCCTCAGATCTCATCCTCTTGAGTAGCTAAGATTACAGGTGTGCATCTATTTTAACAGAGAAAATATTTAGTAGTTAATAGTATGGGTGTGTTGAAAATTGTAGCAATGTGGCTGGAAGTATGATTAAGCAATAGAACACCTGCCTAGCAAGCCCAAAGCTGAGTTCAACCCCCAGAAAAAAAATTTAAAGGAAAAATTATACCAGTGGCCTATGATACAATGCTCTCTGGATGACTGATATGACCTCTGAAGGTCAGAGGTTCAGTATGCCTATTGGGTACGATCAGCAAACTATGGTCTATGGGCTATGTCTGGCCAATTTCCTGTTTTTACAAATAAAGTTTTATTAAAACACAGTCACAGCCATTTGTTTACATATTATTTATGGCTGTCTTTGTACTACAAAGACAAAGCAAAAACAATTGTGACAGAGACCCCAAATCCTAGGAATTCTAAAAAATAAAAACCAACTATCTGGCCCTTCCTAGCAAAAGTTTACTAACCCCTAGTCTTCTGCATGCCACAGAGACACTGCAAGTCTACCCCAGGATCCTGCCTACTCCAGGTCATAAGGCCAAGTGTGGGAGAAGTGCTCCATGCCTTCAGATAACGGAGAAAGCCATCCAGTGTGGGTTCTGGGCATGCCCTCTCTCCCAGGACTCATGAACAGCCTGGTATTACTGGCATGGCTATCATTTTCACATTGGCTTTGCGCTTGACCATGTCCTTAAGGAGGGGGTCCCTCGTCATCACCATGTCCCGCACAGTGCTTATTACAGTACATGACAAGCCACAGAGTTAGGTGAGGCTTATTTATATCCGAAGACCAGCACAAGGCTTTTATGCAACAAATGTTCCTATGAAATGTCCCCCAGCTGTAGGCTTCCAAGACAACAATCTGCCTAGGTTTTTCAAAAAAAGAAATTTATCTCCTTAGATCTCCCCCTATCCTGCCACTCCACCCACCCACTCCCACAACATCAGGCACACAAACAACACACAGGCTCCCTCTCAGAGGTGGACGGTTAATGTTCAGTAATTAGAACTTTGCTGGAACATTGGATTATAATCACCTTCTAAGAAGATCTGTTTTGGTACATTTCACAAGCAAAGAATTTTAATTATGGGGGTTATATTAGCCAAGCTGTATGAATTTTTTAATGTAATATGTGAAAGTAATTAGAGTGGCTACCTGAATAATATCCCTTAAATGATAAGATTCACCAGTACTGGTCTTGTAGAGCCTAAACTCACTGTGTAATTAGTGTTTTTAAACAAACATGTGTCTGTGGGTATAAAATTTTCAGACAAGGAAATCATCTATCATCTAAAGAAAGAGAGGGCTAGCCAGTCACACACACACACACACACACACACACACACACACACACACACAAGCCCACAGACCATATCAGATTTTCATTCATTTGCTCATTTACATGATAACTGAACATATATGCCATGCCTGGCTCTTGAATGATTGTCATATAACCTATTCAAGGAGACATCAGTACATTTACCTGACCATCCTGCATGGGATGTTAATAAACATTCATTGTAGCAAACAGGCAGAGAAGATGAGAAGTTTGTGGTCAAATAAATGTAGGAAAAACACTGCTTTCAAAGACATTTTAGAGGTCTTTAGCTAGGGCATTCTTAGGGCCTTTAAAACATTTCTATACAATAGACACACATACCAGTAGACTGCTTCACCAGCCTGGAGGTCTCACAGAATCACAGTTTGAGAAAGATTATTTGGGCCAATTAACCCCAAAGAATCATGTGAGGTGTACGAGGGCAGTGATGTGTTCAAGGAATAACCCATTTTCAAAAGAGGGAATATTTCCCAATTCCCATGGTGTAAATACTCCCACCATCGCTGATTTCAAACTACTAACGTAATGCCTTCCTTCTGCCTTGCTCCTGGACAAACAGAAGCTGAAACAGCCAGGGAAAGTTGGTCCTTCTGGTATGAAAACCTACACTAGCATCGCAGGCCTTTTGGTCAGGAGTAACATTCCTTAAAGACTGCTGTTTCCAGTCCAATTCATACTTGTAATGTGACCACAGAGAATGTTGAAGAACCCCCCCTCCCCCGCCTTAAACGCCTTTGCTGATGGTAGCAGGGTCGGGGTGAGGAGGAGAGTCCTGAATAAGAAGGCAAGAGTCATCATGGAGGATTTGTCGCGCTTACCTGCCTTGCTTTTTGATAAATGACCCCAAACTTAAATGTGTTGTTCACATCATGCTCGTCGTAGGACACAATCATTTGAGAGGCCTGGAAAATGGGAGAAGGGAAAAAAAATTCAAGATTGTTATTAATTTGGAGGCAAGTGAAGAAGCAAACAGAAGGAGAAGCCCCCATGTCAGTCCAAAACATGGCCCCAATGAGAGACATCCATGTGTACAGAGAGAGTGAGAACCCGTGGGCAGATGGTCAGGATGCCACTCCAAAGGTCTTGGTTGGCTCCTCACATCTAGACTTCTCCAGTGGTAACTAAACCTCTGCATCAGCCACTCTGTCTCTATCCAGATGTGCCAGCCACAGCTTGAGCATAGCAGGAGTCCAATGAGACTCAAAAATGGACGTCAGCCCAGTTTTTATCTGTAATATACAAAATAAAGCCAGAATGCCCAAACTGGTCAGGAAAGATGGTCCTAACTCTCATTCTACTTCTTCAGCAATATAACTTAACGCAAGGCATTATTCCTGCCCAGACTTCAATCTCTGTATCCATAAAATGAAGATTCTCTGAGGAGAAACACACCCTAGTAAAATACACAAACAAAAACAAAGCCCTGACCACTGGTTCCACCTAATTGTCCATTTTGCCTTGTAGAGCTGCTATCCGGGTTCAGACAGCCTAAACTCAAGTTCTGAATCTGCTGCTTTGATGTACACAGCTTTCAGTAAGTCAGTTAACTCCCTTCATCTTCCTCCTCTTTTAAATGAAGAGGTGTATTTACGAGGAGTGAGACAAACATAAAGTGCAACTATCATCAATATCATCATCATCCTCATCACCATCTTACAACAGTATCATCAAAACCAGTGTCATCATCAACATCTTCATCCATATTACCATTATCACCAACCTTCCAGAAAGATCAGAGCTAAACCAGTTTATTGAGAAAGAATATTTGGGTGTGATTGGAATACATTTCACAATATGAAGGAGAGATCTGCTTATGAATTATGATAGGGAAAGAACAAACCAGGAGTAACTTGTTAGCTGGACTATACAGCCCATGTTTGATTGCCACTCAGTGGGCTTTCTGCAAGGTTCTCAGAAGCAGAGCAAGTGACACGTCTCAGTGACAGCTCCCTCTCCTCCCCTCCCGCCACCCTCCTAAGAGCCCTGCTGCCCAGCCCTAGAGAAAGCCCTCCACTCCTAGCTGAGATGAGTCAAAGGAGATGAACAGTTGCCCTGCCAGAGAGAGGCACCAAGCCACAGAAACCTTCCAAAGAAAAGTCTTAATTCTATAAACTTGAAGCACACACACACACACACTTCAGCCAGATTCACATCCCAGCCAAACTCAAGCAATCCTTCAAATATAGAAAACATGAAAATACAGCTGCTCTTTCATTATTACCAAGGCCAGAGCTTTCCAAGTTAAAGAGAGAATTATATAAAAGCCTATCACTGGGTTCTTGGGGCGGATGTGATTTGACAACAAAACTCACCAAACCTTTAGTTCAGTCAGACCTTTATGATAGGGTTTTAATGTGTGGTTACACCTCACTAATTCAGCTTTGGTTATAAAGGGCAGACAGTCTGAATGACAGGAAACATTCAGCGGAGTGTGGCATAGGACCGGTGAGTGCCTACAGATGGAAAATGGCTGCAAAAAAGCATCTGGAAAAAGAATGGCTCTGTGCAGACACAAGCTCTTCCCCCTCCCCATCCCACTGCAGATGGATAAATAGATGCTTTGAAGAATGACAGGCCCAGTCATGGGCAAGGAAGGCCAAGACTTCCAGATATCCTAGCAGGATGAGGGGGCCTCCCTTCCCCACCAGGCATCTTATTTCATGACTCCTGGTTGTCATACTTAAGACTCAGGGAATAGAGAAAGCTAGCTCCAGCAAACCTCAGCAGCCACAGCGCTGGCCAACAGGCGCTCAGGGTACAGCTCTGCTCTTACTTTCTCCCTCCGGCCTCATGAAGAAGCAGTCAGTGCACAGGGTCTTTTCCTGTGGCTAATTTCAAGCAATTTTCCATCGGGATGATTCAGGTCCTGTCATGCCATAATTGTTCTTGAGTGGGTTTCTTTGTTGGTTTGTTATTATTACTCTTCTCCTCACTCACACTCCTATATCAGAACTGGGGTTAACGTCCGGCCAATCTTAAGGAAATTGCTATCCGAGAATCAACTGGTTTATTAACAAAGGCCAGCAGGGGATTATAAGGCCTGAGTGTTACAGTAACAAGATTGCTGGGAAGCCCTACATGATGGCAGAGTAGATACACACATATCCTCCCAGACTCATGTCTTGCCCCAGAGCTTTCCTCAAGGGGCTGCTACTAGGGTGAGATGCAGAAGCCACCAAACTGTTACCTCTGCCATCTTCACACCTGTTAGGCAGGTCTAGAGAAATAGACATGCCTGAGGATGAGCAGTGTGTAAAGGGGTGGGCAGGAAGAAAAGGGAGGGGGGGAATAGAGGTTTATCATAGACACACCACACACACACACACACACACACACACACACACACACGCAGCAAGCTCCCCCATACAGCCACTGCCATGCAAATCCACACCACTTTGCAAAACCCTGGCAAGAGGGAGTATGAAGGTCCTCACCTTGGGGTACAGGACAGGGTTGAATTTCAGCCCCACTGCATCGTCACAGAAAGCCTGAGCAGGGAGAGAAACACAGAGTTCAGAAACATAGAGTCCTCTGGGCTCCTCTGCCCACCAAGAGACAGCACCATGATGGAGGGCATAGCGCAGGACAGGGCTTCCAATCAGGCTTGGCTGTTTGCTAACAGGTGCCCAGGCCAGAAACTAACCTTTCAAAGGGTTCCTGCTAAAGTGAAAGGAGGAAGAGGAGGAAGCCTGAGACTTATCCCAGAAGATAATACCAGAAAGCTTTCTACCTCCCAAACTTCCAATCAAAGTATCCAAGCACAATTCTCCCAGCATTCCTGCTCCCGAGTAAGGCAGCCACTTCTGACCCCACTTTACTGCCAACACTGGTTCCCTGTAACCCTAGCAATGACATAGCCCCACACCCCTGCCCACTGCCAGCTTCTTACTCAAGAATAGTAATGGCTCTGGATCCTCCTTCAGCTCAGCCTAGGTCCTTCCTCTCCTGCTTTCCTATCTATCTTCCTCTGACACCCCACTGTTTAAGCTCCATTGGCCAGCCTGTCTTCCATTTCTCCTGTCTCTGGAACTAACCATGACTGCTTGGGGCGGAGACCAATGATTCTATAATTCCTGGAGTAGCCTCAGCAGCAAGGATCAGTTAAGGAGGGAAAGGGAAGATGAAGGCAGCCCCCTACCTCCATCCATAGAGTCAAATGCCAGGGAAAAGTAGCCTCTCCCTCCCCATGGGCAGAGCCTCTACCCCATTCACTCCAGAACAGCCCTGGGATGACAGGGAAAGCCATCTTCTCTCTTGAGACACTGAGTTTTACCTTTGCAATCTGAGGGACACTGGGTAACTTGCTCAGTCCAGCCAGAGGGATCCGCTCATGCACTGTCTTCAGCTTGGACCTGCATACACGGACGAGGTGAGACAAAGGCTTCCACCCAAAACAGAATCAGTAAGGAAGGCGGCCAAGACCACTCTGGGCTGGGGTACTCACTGCAGATCTCCCCAGGACACAGATCTGCCACCTTCCACCCAACCCAGGAAAAGAAGGAGGCACCCACCCTCCCACCCCCTCCCCCGCCACACACAGTGGGAAAAGGAAGACCCTTCCTGGGGTCTTGACAGGGGAAATGACACAAAGACTCTGCCTGCTCAAGCTGCCTGCAATTAGCTCCCTTCCAGGTCACTGTGACTTTTTTTTTTCTTATTTCTAAATTTTGTCTTCTTCCAAAGAACTGAGTCCCAGCTTTGGGATCTATTTAGATTTTGACATGCAAATGAATCTGTATGAAAAGATAATCTAATATTTGAAAATCTGGATTGACTTAAAATATAAAGGGATTCACCATATAAGACTCTAAATTTAGCCTGTTCCCTTGATTCATTTAGCACATTATAAAAGTGTTGAATTTTACTGAATGCTTCTCTGCATCTGCTTAGATAATCATATGGTTTTTTTAAATCTGCTAACCTGCTGGATTACATTTCTGTTCAGCCATCTTTGTGTGCCGTGGGTGCTCAGAATTTATTTGGTTAATTGTTTATTTATATTTTCACATCCATTTTCAAAGACAACACCCACCTATTTTCTTTTTTTTTTCCCCTTGTACTTCTCTTTGCAGGTACCAAGAGCAAAGCGTTATTCTAGCCAAGAAACATTTTAGGATCACTTCCAGACCTCTGGAATGGTTTCTGTGACACAGGGATTTTTTTTCTGTTCTTTAAACATTTGATATAATTCATCTGTGACATCACTAGGCTAGTTACCTTTTTTTTTTTTGTCGGTTGTGGGGCTTAAACTCTGGGCCTGCAAGCTGTCCCTCAGCAATGCAGCTCAAGGCAAGTACTCTACCACTTGAGTCACAGCGCCACTTCCAGTTGTCTGGTGGTTTATTGGAGATAAGAGTCTCATGGACTTTCCTGCTGAGACTGGCTTTGAGCCATAATCCTCAGATCTCAGCCTCCTGAGTAGTGTTAGTTACTCTATAGAAAGGATACTTCACAGAAGTATCTTTATAGAAAGATACATTGCAGTTCTTTAGATGTTTAGGTTTTCTTACTCCATGTTAAGTCAATTTGGGTAATTTAAGTTTTTCTGTAAGAGTTGATATAAAGTTGGTTTTCTTCATCTAGTTGTGTCTCTCACTGCTAAAAATACTAGGGTTGTGTGTGTGTGTATGTGTGTGTGTGTGTGTGTGTGTATGAGTGAGTCTGTGTGTGTGTTGCTAGGAATCAAACCCAGTGCCTCACAAATGCCAGGCAAGCACTTTATCTCTCAACTGCATCCCCAGTCCTTGTTTGTAACTTTTCTCTGTTTTCCTTAACAAGTCTTAACTACAGGTTTACCTATTTTATTAATTTTGGCGGGGCATCTTTTAGATTTGGTGATTGTCTCTATTCCTTTTTATTTTTGCTTTGTATTTCACTCACCTGTTCTTGAAATTTTTTAAATTTCCTTCCTCTATTTTCTTCAGGTTTTTTTTCCTATTCTTTTTCTACCTTCCTAGACTGCATACTTACTCATTTAACCTTTCTCTTTCTTTAACCAGTGCATTTAAAACTATACATCTCCATGTAAGTGCCACTTTCATTGCACCACAAAACATTCTGATTGGTAGTACTTTCATTGCCATTTAATTCTAAATATTTTGTCAGTTTATGATATTCTCATTAGCCTATGAGCTATTTAAAAGGTAAAAAGGAAAAAAGAACTTTCCAAACATGAGACAATTTTCCCTTGATATTTTAACTGCTGATTTATAAACTGCCTCATATTCAAGGAAGATAATCTATATTATTTTTTTTTTTTTGGTCGGTCATGGGGCTTGAACTCTGGGCCTGGGCGCTGTCCCTCAGCTCTTCAGCTCAAGGCGAGCGCTCTACCACTTGAGCAGCAGCGCCACTTCCGGTTTTCCATTGGTTTATTGGAGATAGGAGTCTCACGATCTCTCCTGCCCGGGCTGGCTTTGAACCGCGATCCTCAGATCTCAGCCTCCTGAGTAGCTAGGATTACAGGCGTGAGCCACCGGCGCCCGGCAATCTATATTATTTTAAATTTATTTATCTAATACATGGACCATGGGAGAACACACAACTGAGTGTGACGGTGAAATGAACCTCTCCTCCCAGAATTTTCCACCCTGCTGGGAGTGCCAAGACTCTTCCTAGGGGAGGTGGGAAGTTGCTCAGGAGAAATGCCCAAGAGAAGCATGAAGCAAGAACCAGGTTGCACACCCCGCGCTTACTCCCAAACACAGCTATCTGTGAGAGCAGAGACAACCAAGGATGCTACCCGAAAGTGCTTGCTCCACACCACAGGAAACATCAGGAGTTGAAAGAAAGCATTCCCAAATTATTCAGGCGTGCTTCCTTTATCCTAAATGTCTTCTTCCTGAAATTCTACTTCATCTGATTTTCATCTTGCCATGCCAGCTTTACGTTATAACTTTCCATATCATTTTTCCATCAGTGTGTCTCTCTTAGCTGGGTTTTTTAACCCAACTTGATAATCTGATATTTTAGTGGGATGACTTAATCCATTTATATTTTTATAACTACTAACATATTTAAAATACCTAGGATTTATTTTTTTCTATTTCTATTTTATTTTTTTCTATTCTATTCTTTTCTGTAGTCTCCGTATAAGACAACATCATTCAGTCCCCATCGTGGCTACCCAGTAACTAAGTGCCATTCACATTCTACAGTCTGGAGACCTGGCTCATCCCAGAAGCCTCCTGACCTACCTTTCTTCCCTGGGCCTCCTTTTCTTTCCTATCACTATCCTTACTCTAGCCAGAGTGACCATTGTGACATTCTCTCTTCTATAGCTCTCCTCTTGCTCTTAGGACAAAACTCAAGCTCCTAAGTCAATTAACAGTGGCTCACACCTATAATCCTAGATACTCAGGAGGCTGAGACCTAAGGATCAAAGTTTAAAGCCGGCCCAGGCAGGAAAATCCATGAGACTCTTTATCTCCAATAAAGAGAAAAGCCAGAAATGGTCTGCGGTTCAAGTGGTAGGTGGCTAGCCTTGAACAAAAGAAGATCAGGGACAGAGCACAGGCCCAGAGATAAAGCCACAGAACCAGCAAAAAATAAAAATAAAAACAACCTCAAGCTCCTAAACCTCATCTGTACATGGCCGAGCTTTTTCCCATCTGTCTAGCCCGACCTCTCAACTCCATACACATTCAAACCCTATTCAAGACATTTTGAATTTCTGTTTTCCTTTCCATCTATCTCTTGTATCACCCCACTAGCTTATGACAATCCAGGTCCATAAGAGGGTGAGCAAGATTAAGAAGAGGACTACAAACATCTCAAGTGGAGCCTGAGGTATAGTACATTGGTAGAGTACTTGCCTCGCATGCACAAAACCCTGAGGAAGAAGAAAAAGAAAGAGGAAAAGGAGGAGGACAAAGAGGTTAGTAAAGAAGGAGAATATACTGATTACTTTTTATGTTCAGGAAACAAGGTAAGAGTTTATTCCTCACAGTATCCCTACCACTACACTTTAAGTAGACTTTAAAGAATAATTCACTCCCTCATATGAATCATCTTTGCAATGCTAAAGTAACTCTTTCTTAGCTACAGTACATTTTTGTTAATAGCCTGCTTGGATTTGAGTTTCTGAGAATGATATTTTGTTTAAAGCATTTGTCCATATTCATAAGGAATACTGAGCCCTACTTTTTTTTCTTTTTCTATCTTTTCAACTTGAAATTTCATTTGCCTGATTTTTTTTCAATGTAGATCTTCTAAGCATTATCAAATGAACTGGGAAACTTTCCATACTCTTCTCTTGAACAGTTTAAGTAACACAAAATCTGTTCCTTTAAAGTTTAAAATACCTGCCTGCCTACCATCTAACCTAGAAACACTTGGAGAAATAATTCTTTGGGAACTTTTCTAATGTATTCCATAGTTATTGGTGCATTTGAGGGTTGGTTTGTGTTGTTTTAACCTCATCTCGAGTTACATTTAATAATGGATATTTCCCAAAAAGGGCATCTGTCTCAAATAACATTTTCAATTGCATAGCCTGAACTGAACATCAGATCCATTAATAATTATTAAATCTTAATATGTAGTTATCTATCCTTTTACATATAATTTTGCACATTTGTGTTTTCTCTTTTAACCATATTCACTGCTCAGTTATCTATACCAATCAGGTTCTCCCTAATGGAACCCAAGATTTATCAAGTCTGTGTTCTTTTATGTCTAATCTATTCACTTCTTTAATCTTTATTCCTTCCTCTTACTTTTTTGAGGTAATTATGTTGATCATAAGAGTGGCAGCTACCATTTCTGATTATCTGTAGCTGCTCAAAAGGGCACATTGCAGGCCAAGTGCTGGTGGCTCATGCCTATGATTCTGCTACTCAGGAGGCTGAGATCTGAGGATGAGGGCTCAAAGCCAGCCCAAGTAGACAAATCTGAGAGACTCTTATTAACTAGCAAAGTAACTAGCAAAAAGACAGAGGAAGAAGTGTGGTTCAAATAGTAGAATGCCAGCCTTAAGCAAAAAAGCCAAGCAAAAGCAAGAGGCTCTGAGTTCTGAGCACTAAAGATGGGGGAGGGGGGAGAAGATACACAGTGCTCAACAATTTTAAGACTGAGACATCATTACCATGTCACAGATGAGGAAACTGAGGCACAGAGAGGTTACTTCTGTGTCAATATCACTCTTTCTTATTTAATAATAAACTGTTTAAGTTGATAATTTTTCTTCTAAGTACAGTTCTGAATAGAACCCATTAGTTTTTATGTAGAATAATATAAAGTATATAAAATATATAAAGTATATATATATATATATATATAAAGTAATGACTTTATAAATATTCTATAACCATGGTTTTGATTTCCCCTCAGGCCTAAAAGTTATTTTTTTTTTTTTTGGTCCGGTCATGGGGCCTGAACTCTGGGCCTGGGCGCTGTCCCTCAGCTCTTCAGCTTAAGGCTAGCGCTCTACCACTTAAGCCACAGCGCCACTTCCGGCTTTTTTTTTTTTTTTTTGCTTATGTGGTGCTGAATCGAACCCAGGGCCTCAGGCATGCAAGGCAAGGGCTCTACCACTGAGCCACCTTCCCAACCCTAAAAATTATTTTGAAAAGAGTTGAGGTGTTTATTTCTATGTGGCTACGTGGGTTTGTTTAAAAAAAAAAAAACCTTCTTTTGTTGTTAATTTCTACTTTTATTATCAAAGTAGAGGTGAACATACTCAATAGTGTTTGCTTTTAAATTAATTTAGATTTATATTATGATCCAAAAGTTCCTGAATCTACCTGTCTACTTACCCACAAGAATTTTTAAATAGAAATTTCAAATAGCAGTCCAATTAAACAAAACAACCAAGCCTCTGAATAGAAATTTCACAGCAAATAAACACAAGTATATACATGAAGAGATGGTCCCAAATAATGAATAGATTTTACATGGCTGAGCTCGAGGCACACACAGAGGTTAGTGGGCATGCTCTTCTAAGATCTGAGGCTGCAAAGCTGGCTGCTGTCAATTGGGAGGCATCAAGTAAATAATTCAGAAGTCTATGAGGAGTGAGGCTGGGACAGCCACCACTGCCAGCCAGGAAATGCTACCTCTACATTACTTCTCCTTTGTCTCTGATAAATCTGCTAGGCCACACAACCAGTTTTTCTTGCCTAGTCTTCAATTTGGCCTGGCAGACACTCCAGGTACCTGATGGATTGTCTAGTGTCCTGACTGGTATATATGGCTTCTCTCTACCCCACTGTGTGCTGGCTTCCAGCTGAGGAGAGCCACATTTTGGCCTTGTCCTACAGGTTCCCAGGACATTCATTTCAAATAGTTGATCCCAAACAAAGGGGTTCTTGGAGAAAGACTTCTGATGTTCAGGGCTTCCTCTTCTGCTCAAAAAGGTAAAAATTATTCCAGAATTCCTCCTGTTTCTTCTTTCCTTCCTTCCTTCCTTCCTTCCTTCCTTCCTTCCTTCCTTCCTTCCTTCCTTCCTTCCTTCCTTCCTTCCTTCTTTCTTTCTGTGCTGATACTGGGGCTTGAACTCAGAGACTGTGTGAAATCTCTGAACTTTTTCATTCCAGGCTATTCTGTTAGTATTTCAGCCACAGCTCCACTTTCAGCCTCCAGTTTTGGTTGTTTGCTTTTTGTTTTTACAGTCCCATACTACATTGTTTCCTAAGGAAAAGGAATGGGTTCCACTCAGTATCACCCATATGTTGATCCTAACTCTCATACATTAACAAGTAAAAGTATTTGTTGTGCCTGGCACCTTACTACCTTTCAGTTCTGATAAGCCTATCAGATAGGATACAATATCAGAAGAAAGAGTTTCAATCCTGGTGTGCCATTGCCATCTCACTGAGAAATCCCATGCAGTCTTTGCCGAGTCTTAATAAGAAAGGAGGCAATTTTCTTTTCTTTCTTCCTTTCTTCCAAGATAGGATTGCCTATATCGCCCAGGCTGACCTTGAGCTTGTGATCCTCCTGCCTCAGGTCCAGATTACAGGCATGTGCCATCATACCCAGCTCTAGCAATTTTCTTATCATGAAAACATAGAGGCTGAGGTAGGCACACATCCTGTTTGAAGGTGGAGATGCAAGTCAAGTACTGCTGCTTCAGAAAGTTGTCTCTGGCTATTTAATCAATTCTTCAAGGCCTTGAAAATACTAGGTCTACCCAGGGCAACTTCCACAAGGGCACCTGTTTCCTTTCTAAATAAAGAAGCAAACCAAGGTTAGCCTGATGCTAATAACTTCCTCAAACTATACCCCTCCCTAACACTCCCAAAGCCAGATTATCCGCACTTGATCTTTTGCACATTTATTTCAAAATTTGGGCAGGAAAAAAAATGCAATTGCTCTTTTCCAAATACCTTCAAGAACTTCCAACTAGATTGCATGAGTACAGGCCAGGAACTTGGTAGGTTCACAGCTGTCTACTAAGCACCTTGAGCTTCTGGCTTCTCCCCCATACCCTCAATTAGGGAGAAGCAAACAAGATATAGACTCCCTTGGGCTTCCAAGAAATCCTGTGAAAATGACTACTGGAATACTTGGGACATGTATTAAAATTATGTTTTTCTCTCTTGCTAGACCATAAGCCTTTAGGGAGTAAGTCTCAGTCATCGCTGTCCCCAGCACCTACCCCAGGATCAGGTCCAAAGGTCCAGGAACATGTTCTAGAACATGTTAGATGTCTCCAACAGAAATGGATTCCAGGGCTGGGAATGTGGCTCGATAGTAGAGTGTTTGCCTTGCATGCATGAGGCCCAGGGTTAGATTCCTCAGCACCACATAAGCAGAAAAAGCCAGAAGTGGAGCAATGGCTCAAGTGGTAGAGCGCTAGCCTTGAGCTGAAGAGCTGAGGTACAGCGCCCAGGCCCAGAGTTCAGGCCCACAACCAACAACAACAACAACAACAAAAATGTGTTCCAGTTACTGCCCTTGAGGAGCTCACAATCCAAAGAGAGGTACCCTGGCTCGAGCCATACACCAGGGCTCCTGTTGTCCACATTGCTGTAACACTGGAGCCCAAGCCCCACCACCCATTAACAAAAACTTTGAATCCATCTTCCCGACCATGTGGTCACCAAAGGAAATGTTATGGTTAACCCCCTCTTGAAACATGGAACTGTGTCTCAGCTTGATGAGCCTCTGGGTCCCACACTAGAAAGAGAAACCGCAAGGGGTCTGATCCAGGTGACCTTGAGAATCAGACAGCTGGGCAAGAGCACCTGCGTCATGCTGTCTGGCAACCTAGTGTATAGCCACAGGATTCCAGAAGGTCAATCGCTCCAGCACACCCAGACTAGACTGGTGGGACTAGTATTTCTGTCCTTCCTGCCCCCTCAGATGGCAGCCTCTCCTGGAAGAGGCATGGCCTCCATCAGCGCAACAGCCCCACCTGAGAATGATCCGAAGGTACTCCATCCCCTCAGCTTCCTCACACTTGACGGACAGGATCAAGTTCCCCAAACTGCTGCCAGTACAGTAAAAGTTTAGATGATCCTAGAAATAGAAATTAGGTGTAAGCGGAGAAGCAAGCCTTCAGACATGGTCCTACCGCCCCCATCCCCTCCTTCATTAGGAGGGAGAAGCCCCACAAAAACAAAGAAGAGAGAGGTGCTACTGTGTTCACTGCGGCTGCTGCTGCTGATGATTTGGTACTGGTGGTGTTGATGTTGTTGCTGGTAGTGATGGTGGTGGTGGTGGTGGTGGTGTGATGGTAACTGTAGTTGTGATGATGGTGGTGGTATTGATAGTAAGGGTGATGGTAGTAGTGATGATTATAGCTGTGGAGGTGATGATGATGGTGATTGTGTTTGTGATGGTGCTGGTGGTGAGGATGGTGGTACTGGTGGTGATTATAGTGGTGATGGTGGTTGTGGTGAAGGTGTAGTAGGATTGTGGTTGTGATGATGATAGTGATGGTAGTGATTATAGTTGTGGTTGTGATGGTGTTGGTTGATGCTGGTGGTGGTGGTACTGGTGGTGGTTGTGATGGTGGTCATGGTGGTGCTGGTGGTATGGTGGTAATTGTGGTTGTAATGATGATGGTGGTGGTGGTGATTATAGTTGTGGTTATAATGGTGGTGGCAGTGGTAATGGTAGAGCAACCACCAAGCACACAGAATGTGCTAGATATGATGCTATGAATTTAATACCCTTTATCTTCTTTAACTGTAACCACGACTTTATGAGAAAGATGACATTGTCATTCCCACTCCCCAGATAGGAAATCTGTGCATGGCCCCAGGCCACACAAGTAAGCAACACATTCAGGGCTCATCCCCACCTCTGTTTGCACACTGAAGCTCAGGTTCTTCTCCACCATATCCTGGCCTTACTTTCTTATTCCCAGGTGGAGTTTTCACCAAGCCAGACGATGGGAGAAAGCCAAAACAATCCAAGCACCTCCCCACAATGAGAGCAAGAGGTTCTCTGTAATAAGGGGACCTTCACTGGCTTCCTGAAGCCCACCCCCCCAAGTCTGCCAAACCACAGTAGGATGCTGGGGTCTTCATTTTAACAAGACCTCCTGGTATTCCTGGGCTTCAGAAGCAGCCTCATCTAGGGGGGACTCTACAAAGCTGCTCTAACTAGAGAGTTCCATCCTCTGTCCTTGGGATTTGGGGAATCTAACAAGTCTAAAGGACAGAAATAGAATTGTGTCACTGTGAGACAATCAGATGCTTATAGCACATCATGCAGTCTGGGGCCTCAGGTACTCACCTGAGTGAGGACATGAGAGGTGTGTGCTATGTAGATGAAAATGGAGACATCCAGGATGGGAACAGTTCAGATCCATCACACCCTCCTTCATCCCCCACTACCCATCATGGCTTCCAACAACGCTAGCTGTGGTGGTTCCAAGGACCCCTCACAGGGACTCTGCAGTGCTCCAGGGACACTGCCAGTCATCCCTCTCCACTGAAGACGGAGCCCCTTCCCCAAGTCCACCCCGCCAGGCAGTGCCCCCTGGGTCTCACCTTCCCTAGGAAGTGCCTTCGGTAGGCCCTGGCTTCACCCTTGCATTCGAGCTTATAGCCAAACGTGTTTGGGCTGAGGCTCTCCTCCTCCTCCTCCTCACAGATACTGCTGCCCAGTGATGTCGGAGTGCCAACGTTCTCCGGGTCCTCGATCCAGTAGCCCCCAAACTGGGGCAGGATGATCAGAGGGTAGGGACCTCCCTTCTCCACAACCTAGAGGCAGAGAGAAGATCTTGCTCTGCAGCCTGTTCTAGGGCTGCAAGGGATTGCAGGAGGAAGAGGGGCCTAGTGGTGTCCCCACCTGTCTCTGAGCGGCTCTGGGATGGGAAGCCTGGGATTTAAGGTCAAGGACAGTACCATGAGTCTCTCCTCTGAGCCCAACAGCATCTCCAGCTTACCACTGACTCTGTAGCCCCACAGTGGCAAAGTCCATATGGGCACCCCCTTTTAAACATGGAGAAGTTGGGGTCACAAAGCAAAGATGAGGAGAGGCCAAGGTTCCCTCCCAATGGAGTTGGGAAAGGTGATCATCTCCCCAGGGATGAGACCCAGATGAGGTTTCAGTGCAGCTGGGGTGGGGAGGGTCCTACCTCATCAATGCTGGGGTACGGGATATAGTCATCCTGCAAGACAAGCCATATGACACCAACATTAGTCCAGTACTACCCATACTGTCCAATCACTGTTTCCACGTCTCTCTCCGGGGTCTGGGGAGTATACCGCAGAGCCTAGTGGGCTGTACCATGGCTTTGGGGAAAGCATGCAAGATAGAAGGGCAGCCTAGCGGCAGCTCTGAATATGATTTTGGTACCCACTGAGCCCCTCTCTCTCTCTAAATTGACACCACCAAAATGCAAATGCAGTGAACAGAAGATTCAGCCTTTGTTACCCCGTGACATTGGCTTCTTACCATAGAATTGCTGGAACAGAAAGAGGACCCCTAGACTCCCCCAAGAGGCCCTCTCCAGGTAAAGTGCTCACCTCCAAGAGCTACACCCTTGGGCCCTGTAAATGTAATCTTATGAGAAATCTCAAGTCCAACAGCCCGAAATACTGTATAGATGCATGCACAGAACATAGGGGAAGGAGTCAGGCCAAGACCATCATTAGGTCTCATCCAAGGACTCCACCCACAGCCTGCTCAGCAGAAGCATGGCACCAGTGCCCTATGCTGCCCTTCGGGTATGAGTCTAACAAGGACAGCCACTTACATGCTCCTGGTAAAAAGCAGAGTTAGACAGGTGCAAGAGAGAAGAGCCCATCACTCTCACTGCTCTCCTTGCCCTCTGTCCCTCTCCCCCACCCAGCCCACCTGCCACCCCCAGCCCACCTTGTTCTTCTGGGGTCCTGGCCTCTGTTCTTCAAGCTTGATCCCCTGTGGAACCAAGGAAGAGAGGATTCGTGGAAGCAAAGATCACAAAAAGGGTCCATTGCAAGGGTTCTGAGGCACCTTGCTTGGGGATACTGATGACCAGAGTGGAAGAGCTGGCAGGTGTGGGAGCCCTTACACCTCCCATCCCTGCTTGCTGTCAGCCCTTAAAGTAACCCCAGATGAGGCATCAGAGCAGCTGGCTAAGAACATGAACTTTGTGCTGGGTATCAGTCACTCACACCTAGCTACTCAAGAAGCTGAGATCTAAGGATCTTGGTTCAAAATCAGCTGGAGCAGGAAAGTGAATGAGACTCTTATCTCCTATTAATCAGCAAAAAAGCTACAAAGAAGTGGAGCTGTGGCTCAAGTGGAAGAGCACCAGCTTTGAGCAAAAAAATCAAACAAGAGTGCAAGGCCCTGAGTTCAAACCACAGTAATGGCACACACACACACACACACACACACACACACACACACACACACAAAACCATGAACTTGAGCCAGATCACCTGGGTTTATATGACAAATACAAACACTGATACTAGTCTGATAGGCAAGTCACAAAAACCTCGGTGTAGCTCATGGTCCTGTCTGCAAAATGGGAATGCCAACAGCTTCTCACACTGCAGTGAGGGCTGAAGGCAGAGAACAGGTGAAGCCCTTGAACACTGACTGGCAGACAGTAGATGTTGTGCATTAATAGTGCCATGACTTGGCAGCAGCAGCATGCTGAAGCTGAAGTATCTTCTCTAGTTCCCCTAGGTAGCAGGCAAAGGGAAAAGAAGGAAATGAGTCTGCCAGCATAAGAGCCAACCCTGAGCTTTTGTGTCCCGCAGGTGGGTCGGCCTGCAGGTGGCAGACAGGAAGCCTGGTCCTGGTCCTCAGCCCACTGAGAGCTTCCTGTCATTGACCTATAGTGCTTCCTATCACAGCCTCTCCATCTATATCTCAAACCCCTGATCCCACAGAAGCAAGAAACACTGCTACTGCAAGGTCAGATTCAAAGCCTGGGACTAGATTAAAGAAGTCCACTTGTAGGTGCCTGGGAAATTCACTTCTGGGAGCAACTCCCTATCCAGTAGCCCTACAGCAGGGTTCTGACCTACCTAGGTCACTCGAGAGGGGAACACGAAGTGTTTCCAAGATTGAGAAATCAGGGGAGGGTATGGACTGGGAGAACAAACTAGGGGGGAAATAACAGTCCCCTCTGGAGGGGGAAGAGTAGGAAGCAGCCCTTCCCTGGTCCTCACATCACCTTTCCACTAGCGGGGAAATGGAGGCTCTAGAAGAGGCTGTATGCCTAAGGTAGTGAGTGTCAGGCCTATGACTTGAAGGCAGGCTCCCTGCCCACCAGGTGTATGCCCACACTCCATGCTCCCCGTACAGCAGCAGGGCCCACTGCTGGGTGGGTTTATGCTGCATCTCTGGACTTCTTGGCTGAGTCAACCTGGAGACACACTGTTCAGGAAGGTGTGGGAGGGCCCCACCCACCAGACAGGTGTTTCTCACACACAGGCAGAAAACCACCTGGGTGGCCCCCGTACACTTTGTCCAGATTGGCAAATGGGGAAGGGGGCAGAGGAGAGTGATGTCAGGAGTTTGTTTGGTCTTTCATGAGTCATGGCTGTCTGGGAACAGTCCCTAGGGCTGAGCACAGACCTCCCTCAGAACTCTGGGCCACTGCCTCCCTTCCTCCTTCCCTCCCCTCCCCCACCATGGGACCCCTGCCTCAAGCTGGGCTCTCTCTCCTCCACGTACTCTTCTTATTAACTTGTCATGGCTTCCTCTTCTCCCCTCTCCCTCTCTTGAAGACTTGGAGGCTCAGAGAGGGAGAGCCGGTTGACCAAACTTACTCAATTAACAGACTGTCAGTCTGAGACTTGAACCCAAGACAGGAAGATCTAAAGCTTGTACCCCTATTCCCTCCTGTTTCACAGGGGCTCCAGCCCCACTTAATGAGGGCGACTTCCTTCAATTCCTAGATTCTTGAGCTGGGAGTCAGGGATCAAGGATCCTAGTTTTAGTTCTTCACAATTAGCAAGTGGGACGCAGGCTCTTAAACTGCTCTGGGACTCGACTTCCACAGTGGCTTAATGAGGAAAGATGGAGTCCACACCCAAGATAGAAATCCTGCCACTCCAAGCAGCGCTTCACCACTGGCCCTTCCCATAAGACAGCTTCTGGAAACTGTGAGCCTTCTCGGGGGACACATGAGAAAGTCTTACATACTGAACTTGGGTTTCCTCGCTCCCTTCCTGCGGGAGGAGAGGCCTCAAGGTGGGGCTAAGAACAGAAAAGTTGCAGGAGGAACCCTCAAGGAGGCAGAGGAGCTGCTGAGCCCCCCCCCACTAGACTGCCAGGATCTCATTGGCTTGAGGGGAAAATCCCAGCTTTGCTTCAAGCAGTTGAGCCATTAATTATACCCTGTCTTCCACCACTCAGCAACACACGTGTGGGCCCTGTTTTGGAGACTGGTTTATAACTTCCTGGTGCAAATAGAATGAATTGGGGTCCACACACTGCTGGGTGCAGAACAGAGTCTTAATAACATACTCCTAGTAACACCCCAAACACCAATAATCTCTCTCCCTCCAACAATCCCTCCACCCCCTCCTCACCCTCAGGGATAGCTCCTTCAGCAACTCAGGATCACCCCTGGATGCTACACTTGCTCCTCCATCCTGAAGCTTCCAGATCCTCAGTATAGAATATTCCTCGTTGACTCAGGATGGGAAGTACTGTCACACTATAGCCAAGCCCTCTGACTGAAGCACTAACTAGCCATGCACCCCCCCCCATGCTTTATGGACCTCAGTTTTCTCACCAAGGGTATGGGAAGAACATTAGCATGTTCACATGTGGAGACCTTTTCAGGATCAATGAATGCCTATCCATCTCTGATCTTGAAGAAGTGCATGAAATATCAATGAAACGTACCTCTGCTCACACTCCCTAGAGAAATAGCATTTGTTGGCTCCAAAAACAAACCCCATGGATAATTTCTTTTTAATCTCAAATACTCAGTTCCCTGATACAAAGTGGCCTGGTGTTTTCCTCAGACCTACATCCTCCTCCTGTTATTTTAAACCATCTCTAGATTACATCTATGACCTAATGGATGCAGACTTGTGTCAACGGTTATTAGACTGTATTGTTCAGGGAAGAACAGGAGGCAAACACCTCTACTTAAGTGGTATAGCCACAATTCCCCCACACCCAATGTGTGTTGGATTTAACCTACAGCTTTGGGCCTGCAGACATGGATTGTGATTACAAAGAACCCTCCACAAAG